AGGGTGCATATAATAGAACTATGAAAGTTCCAGATGGAATGAAAGAATAGTTCATATTGTTGCTGGTCTTCAAAAAGATGTTAAACAAATGAGAAACGTTTTAACATTACCAGAAGCTCAAGCATATGCCAAACGTCATGGTCCAAATTGGGAAGCACACGAAGCAGACATTACGGGTCCAAATGGAAAACCTGATGGTATAAATGAAGTTTTCGTTACTGATGGTCAAGGAAATATTAAAGTCATAAATGGTTATAAATTAACTATGTCTGATTATCCTAAACGTAAAGCATATAATGAACGTTATCCTATGCAATTTGATGAAAATGGAAAAGCTGTTAAACAATACATTGGAGAAGGTGAACATGGTCCAATTAATTTATACCGTCATAATCCATATTCTTATTTCAATGAAGAATTAAATGCTATTGAAGAGGACCGATGGATTACCACGATATTCTAATACAGTTTGATGGTCAATATGCAAATATTAGACCTGAAATTTCAGCTAAGAAATTCTTTAAAGTTTCTTTATTCGATCCAGTTTTCGCAAATGTTAAAGATGAACTTAAACAGCAATTCCAACCAATTATAGTAGCAAGAATTGCATCAGGTGCTTTATCTCAAGCATTCAAAGATTTAATTAAGAAACCATTTTATCAGCAACGAGGTTAACTTATGATTTAGTTAAGGAATCAGATAAAAGAAAATTTGAGAAATCAGATGATTATAAGAATGCAATTAATGAATATATTAGGTCTTTTAATTACGATAATGAAGCAATAAATCATCTTCAAGAACAAATACAGGGAATAATAGATTCAAAAGTTCGACAAAATAAAAGTTTAAATATATTTTTTTATTCGATTATAAATGAGAAGACGTTTCACTAATCAAAAGAACACTAACGCAAAAGCAGAGATTACGGTTGGTTATAACGTAAATGATGATAAATCACGAATTATTCAAAATGTTAAAGTTAATGTTAGCCCTGAATTAACAAGGTCAGCAACTCAACCAAATTTATTAACTCGTGACTTACCGAAGAATGAGGAGAATGAAGAAAACCATGAGAATGGAGACCCAATCATTTTATCTGAACCCAGTAAAGAACCTGTTGAAATTCCCACTTATCCAACATACCCAACACCACCACTTGATAACCCATATAAAATAGACATTAATTCTGAATTAATGAAAATTTACCGTGATATAATAATTAATAATTATGATTCAATAATAAATTTAATTGACCAATCCGGTTTAATTATTTTACCTTATGAATCATTAATTCACATTATTGCCATTCTTTGTGATGTTCAAGATTCAGACGTTAAGATTCAATTTTTCATAGATGATGAGGTTTCATGCTGCGGAACAGTTGCAAAAATAAATCCTATAAAGGATATTAGCACAATTAAGATATCAAAGAACGGAACAACAACTGAACTTCATTTAACATATAATGATATTTATAATAAAATAGTTGATGAATATAAAATATCACTTGAAAAATTCTTTGTTAAGGCTATTTAATATTCAAGCATTAACATTATCGAATAATAATCCTTTGAATCATAATCGATAATAATTGACCTTTCACCAGTTTCTATCGTTTGTTTTATTTCTTTTTGTTCCCCACTATCTGGATCGGTCATTGTAATTGTTTTTGTTATAGTATCTGCTTTATCTTTAACTTCAGTCTTTTTTCCATCGGGATATTTAAACCAAAATTCCAAAAATTCGATATTGTCAATCTGTTCATATTTTAATCTATCAATTACATTTTTAATACCATCTGAAAATCTTATGAAATGGTCATTATATGGGTTTGATTGAACTAAATTTGAATGAAGTGAAATATAACCTGATGATGAATATGACATTGACTCGTATTTTCTGAAAACACTAAAATTTATAACATGAATGAATTTCTTATTCGTTGAATTTATGAATTCTTGAGGTAATCTTATTCTAGTTTTATTTATCACTGGAAAATAACGCTTTACCATATTTTTAATCGTAATAAAAAATGTCAATTATCAATATTATTTCGAATAATAACTGTGAATTAAATTTAACAGTTAGCGGAATTTATAATGTTACTCTCGTTTCTGTGAGTGGTAAATTTAATCCCATTCTTTTAGACCCTTCAGATTATATATCATTTATTAAAGATGACCATGAAAAAACGTATGATATGTATATAAAAATGTGATAACGAAATGGGATATTAACATGATTTTAAGTTATTTAAATGAATCATTTATCGTATGGTATGAAGAAAATTTTAAATCAAAACCTGATAAACTTTTTGAACTTGATGAAATAAATAACCTTATTAAATTTCCGCTGAAAATTAAATTTTGTACTCCTCATCTTCGTTCATTGTTGGGGATATTAAATTTTGAAAAAGATGTTGGGGATGTTTTGTATTCTGACACCGGTTCCAATTTCATTTTAATCAAATGTGATAAAGTTAATACCCCAATGAGATTTTCACATCAAACATTAGACCCTAACTCTTACCCATCAATACAAAACATTTTATCCATCAACTTAAACACATTTTCTTTATCATATCCATTTCAATTATCCGGGAATTCATTTATTCTTCATTCAAAAGATTTATCAAATATTAAATTTAGAATAACTGACCTATTTGATTGTGATTTAGAATTCATGAATGAAATATTATGGCAATTTCAAATAGAAAAAATAGCTGATGAGATAACGGATTAAATATTTATTTTTAAATCGTAATAAATGATTAAACAACAGCAACTACAACAACTTAAGGCGCAGACCATTACATACGCCATATATGCATATAATTCAAAGACGGCAGAACAAACGCAAAGGTTGAAATATGGAGATTTGGAGATAGTATTGAAAAATGACCATTTCGAATTCGTTTGCAAAGGTGGTGCAGTGATATCAAATATAAAAGAAATTTTATTTATGAATTCTAAAATTAAAGGTATAACGGATGATATAACATCAATTCCACCAGAAGAACAGAGATATTACGCATTAAATGCATTTCCTAAAGTTTTGAAGATTGGAAGATTTAATTTAAATGAGGAATTCATAGAAGGTTTCCTAAATGACATAATGAAGAAAGCAAATTTGGTTTATGTTGATGAAAAAGATAATGAAATTAAAGAAAGGGTTGATAGTGAATTAACGAAGAAAGCAAATTTGGTTTATGTTGATGAAAAAGATAATGAAATTAAAGAAATGGTTGAATGGTATCATGAATGGACATCAAAGATTTTAAAAACAAAAGCCGATACAGGATGGGTTTCAGGATGTTTAGACCTTAAAGCAGATAAAACATATGTTAACGATGAGTTAAATAAGAAGGCGGATAAGGAATATGTTAACGATGAGTTAAATAAGAAGGCGGATAAAACATATGTTAACGATGAGTTAAATAAGAAAGCAGATAAAACATATGTTAACGATGAGTTAATGAAAAAGGCAGATAAAACATATGTTAACGATGAGTTAAATAAGAAGGCAGATAAAACATATGTTAACGATGAGTTAAATAAGAAAGCAGATAAGGAATATGTTAACGATGAGTTAATGAAAAAGGCAGATAAAACATATGTTAACGATGAGTTAAATAAGAAAGCAGATAAAACATATGTTAACGATGAGTTAAATAAGAAAGCAGATAAGGAATATGTTAACGATGAGTTAATGAAAAAGGCAGATAAAACATATGTTAACGATGAGTTAATGAAAAAGGCAGATAAAACATATGTTAACGAAATATACCAAAGTTTGATAGGAACAAAAAATATTGAAACTATTGTTGGTGACTTTTCTGTCAATGAAGAAAATAAATATTTTAGATGGCAATTGGTACAGTCCTTAAGAAATGGTATACGGTATAAACTCATTCCGAAAAATAACAATGAAATGTATGTAGGCTATATAAAGAATGATGGTACACAAGTTAAAGTTCCATTAGACAACAACTGCTACTTAAACTTATATGGAGACGAACAAAAGAAATATTTAAGAGTTTATGAAATGGCAGATATGACATTGCCTGACCCAGCTCCAGCACCATATTATTATGACTATGGTGTTGACGCACGTGTAGACCCAAAAAAGCAAACATTATATTTAGAATATTATAGATATAAAAGATATAATGCAATAGAAAAAACGAGAATAGTATACTATTATGAAGATGACAGAAATAAATATTATAGTCAAGATTTTACCTACCCTGAAAACATAAGATTATATTATAAAAATATTCTGACACAAACCAGAAGAAACCTGAAATAGTTACACTATATTTTAAGTTCAAAAGAGACAATCCTATAATATCTCATATGTTTGATTTAATGAACCCAGTAGGTTCTATTTATACATCTATGGATGCAAGAGGTCCTCAAGTAATGTTTGGTGTTGGTGCATGGGAACAAATAGTTGACAGGTTTTTGTATTGTGCAAACTCTTCAAAGGAAACAGGGGGAAGTAAAACGATTACAGGTGAAAATTTACCTGCACACAGTCACTACATAGATTTAAGCACATCTCAAGCGGGTTGGCATAAGCATAGATATTGGGATTGGTCAGGAATGACAAAAGGTAAAGGATATGATGTTAAAGACAACGTTAAGTTTGCTATAGATTGTTACTGGAGTAACACTGAGGGAGGAGGAAACCATACACATTTCGTTTCAGGATATACGCAAACAACGGGACAAAGTAAAGAATACATGCCACCTTACATGACAGTTTACGCATGGTATAGAGTTCAATGAATGAACTAAATATATTTTATGTCTGTAATTAATTTTTTTTCAGTGTCACTACGTCACCAGGTTAAATTAACTTCTTTTAAAAATGATGACAACATGACATTTACGAAAGGAGGAAGGCAAAAATATAATTTAGGTAGAAGGTTAGATCTCACCTCATTCTCTCTTCGTTAATGTTGTTGTTGTGACTTCTTCATTAATGTTGTTGTGACTTCATTCTTCCTCTTTGAAGTTATCGAAATATTCTGTTATTTTTTCCTTCAGTAATGGCAAATCTTCTTTGAATGTAAGTATTGTGCAACCTTTAATATCATAGTGTGTTTGAGGTAAAGTATCTTGAACTATTTGTTTAACTTGTTCATTTGGGGTCATTGAAATCGGTAAGTTTTCACGATAGAACCAGTTTCTGTCAGATTTGTAAATCTTAGCTAAGTCATAAAAGCTTTTGTTGTTTCTTCTGACTAAATGCAACATAACCATATCTTTATCTTCTTCATTTTCCATCTCTTCAGTATAAATCATATACTTATAGTTCTTTTCCTTTCCTTTTGGTACCGAACGTGGTATTCTTTTCTGTATGTTTTTGTCTTTTGCTTCAATGACTTCATCTTTTGCATGAAGTTTCTTTTCCATCTCTTCACGTTCTTGTCTATGAATTTCATCTAACATCATGAAAATATAACAAGCATAGCGAGGTGAAGCCCACATTGCAACAGCATTTACAAGAAGTCTATGAACATAATATCCTTTCAAACCAGGAGCCAAATTCTTGCGATTTTCGTACGGAATCTCTACCCTCGGTTTTCCGAGGGAAGCAAACATATGAGGAAATTCTTCTAAAAGTTCTTTTGTCTGTTGGTTTTCAAACCAATGGTATGCTTGCTTTGTAGAACGAAGAGCATTCAAAATACTTTGCATTTGGTACATGTCATCTTTGACCGAACGAATGAGACGGAGTTGTTTGTTAAACTGTATGTACTCGTATTCTTCATTTATAGCTTCATGAACGATAACTGTTGTTGTGTTCTCTGTTGTTGTGTTCTCTGTTGTTGACATATCTGTCTTTATATACAAAATAAAAAAATAAATAAAATAAAACTAACTTTATTTTTTCTATCTTAAGGAAATTCATGATTTCATAGAGTTTTGGCGACCCCGAAGGAAGTCGGTCTAGAGAAATTTCACTGTTTTTCGTACGGAATCTCTATCCTCGGTTTTTCGAGGGTAGCAATCTTATGCCATTTTACTCAGATTTTTGTGCTGAATTCAATAAAAATATATTTTAGGGTAGAAGGTTAGATCTAACCTGTCTTCTACCCTCTTTTCTACCCCAGTTATTTTATAAGCGTTTTACATGGTAAACGTTATTTTTACATGTATTTTTCAGCAACTTCGTCAAATAATTTTATAGCTTTATCTATCTCATCTACTTCAAACGTTTCTTTACCTTTTATGGGAGCACCATACATTTTCTCAAACTTTTCAAGTAGTTCTGTTTCTGCAGCTCTCATATCATTAACTAACACAACCTTGACTATATTGACTGTACTGTCATATCTTAGAGTTATATTATATGTCCTTCCTATCTTATATCTCTTTGTATTGAAGTCCTTCGGTTTCTGAACGATGTAAAGTAAGCCTTCACTGCAACGTTCCGTATCGAATGAACCATATGTTATGAAGTTATATCCAACAACTGGGTCTAACCATAACAAAACTATTGGTATAAGACTTTTGTCGATGAGATATGCTGCAGTTCCATAGAATTTTACCGATATCATAAGCTCAGGATTTCTTGTCAAAATTTTCTGAGTAGAAGCAATTTTAACCCAGTGGTTTGTTTTTTTTCCAAATGGAGATAAAATGTCTGACAAAGAATATTTGTTGTATTTCTTTGAGTATCTTACGTTTAAATCACCTATTCTAACCACTTTGGTGTCATTGTCTATCTTTCCAACTGTTTCAAACTCAATGTTTGACATCTCTTTCTTTAAGTCAGCATAGTCGTTTCGCATACGTTCTATCTCTTTGACGGAGTAGTTATATTTCCTCATTGCTGCTTTACATTTAGAACATTGTGGGTTCATTTTTGCGTTATATTCTGAAACCTTACCTGCTAGTATGACTAAGGCGTCAATTGCTCTCTTTAACTCAAAAGTTGCGGGTTTTATCTGTTCATTCCATATCTTACCTCTTCTATCTTTATCTCTTATCTGCCATACACATTCAGCAACTAACGAAACAAAGTTGTCGTAGGTCTTAAACTCCCCAGATTTGTATATGTCAGAGATGTTCTTATATACCATATCGCAATCTTTGTCCATGACTTTGTGGTTGCAATGAAATCCAAGAAACTCATAGTTAACCTTTCGTATGAACTTCTTTATTTCTACTGAGTCAGTTGCTTTGACTTCTATTTCATCGAATTCTGGAATAGTTAGTTTTTGTTGTTGGATTTCAGGTAGTTTAGGCAAATGGTCAATAATGTCCTGCATTTCATAAAGATATTCTTCATTTGTTTCATCTTTCGCACTACAGTCTAAATTACTTGTTAACAGTTCTTGCTTTATCTTCTGGATTTTTGTTTCAAAAGTATATGAAGAAGGAATGAAGTTTTTCATCTCTACTAACATTGACATAGGATTCATAACTAACGAGTTTGGTGCTGTAGTTGTGGACAGAGTCCCACCGTTCGTGGCTTGAATTGTTGTTGTGCCGATTGTTGTTGTGCTGATTGTTGACATTTCTGTTCTTACATACAAAATAAAAAAAATAAATAAAAATAAAACTAATTTTATTTATTCTATCTTAAGGAAATTTACGAAGAAATCATGAAAGTCCTGAGCTCCAAAAGAGCGAACGGCATAATTTAAATTTTTATTTTAGTATAAATGAAGATTCTACCATATGGTGTTATTGGAAGAGATAAAGATGGAAACCCAATATTTGATCCAAAGTTAAAATTAAAGTTACTGACAAGACAACAACTTGAAAAGTTGCTGAAACCAAAACAGGATGAGAAAATGAGAAAGAAAAAAATTTAAATTATACAATTTTATTTTTATCATAAATGACCAAATTAATTAAGCCAACTATTTCTAAATTAATGATACCAATGAAATCATTTCATGGAGTACTTATCCCAGGTTCTTCACAATTAGCCGGGGTAGGTGTTGTGACTCAAGGTGGAACATTAGCGAATCCATTCAAATTATTAACTAAAGATGAACTTAATAAAATGATGATAAAATAACTGATAACAAAATTTTATTTCAGTGCTACCATAAAAACAGGTGAAATCTCACCTCTTCACCTAAACATGGGCTTCGCCCTTGCCGCTAGCGGCTTATTTTTGGTCAAAGCTTCCACGAGAGAAAAGATTCCTCATTCGCTAAGGATTCCAAAAATGAAAAAATCATTGATTTCGGCTGAGAAAAAACATCAAAACCCTTCTTCCACGGGAACAAAGAAATAAAGAAGAAATAAAGAAGAAATAAAGTAAATTTTTTATTTATTCCCGTGGAAGATAGAGCACTTTTATGACACTTTTTATTCACGACAAACAAGACAAACAAAGAAAATAAGAAAATACGGCGCTGTCGCGGTTCGAACCACAGACCCTGACCCCTCCATAACACCACCTTAGACCACTGTGCTACGTAGCCTGTCGACATAAGATTTTATAAATTACATATTTGACGTAAATTTATTTCCCAGTTATTCAAAAATAATTAATTATTGAATAACCTAAAATCATTAATGAAAACATAAACGATAACATTTATTTCCTGTGTTGTTGTCATCATTTGTAAGAGAAGTTAATTGACATGGTAACATGGTAGTACTGAAAAAATTAAATTTGGATTGAGTTTAAAAATTCATCTTTATTAAATTCATCTCTTCCAATCAATTTATTTATTCTATTAAATTCTTTTATTTTTGCTTCACTCAGTTTAAGGATTGAACGGTAAGTTTCTAATTTTTCGATTATTTCTTTATCGTTTTCAACCCCACCACATTGTGACTTCTTTTTGTAATAGCATATTTTTGATTTAATTCTGTTTAGTTTCTTTTTATATTCATCGTCTGGACTCTTGACTGCTTTGTTGTCACTCATTTCTTACGAAATAAAAAAAATTAAATATTATTTAAATATAATGGAGTAATAAAATAAATCGGAATTTCTATTAATTTATTGCCAACTTCAACTAATGCATTACCGTTAATATATCTAACAAATTCAGCTATTGTGTCAAATCTTCGTCTTCTTTTTGTCATTAATTTATCAGTTTTTCCATAATCGAGATGAATCAAAACTTTATCCCCTTGTTTAAAATTCATGAGCCCTGAATTAATTTGTTCACGTTTAACATCATTCAACCTTTCCATTTGCTTTCTAATATATTCCCATTCTTTTGAAATATCATTTTTCATTTCCACCGGTTTCATGTTTATTGTTCTATGCCATGTATTATTGTAATAATATACTAACTGTTGTATGATGGAGTCATGATTTCCATCCCAGTATATCTGACTGTTAACCCCTAACGCATCTCTAAGAGTTCTCATTACCGCATCAACTATTTTATTATGAAACGTATATGGAGAAGATGAGAAGTAAAAATTAATTTGTGGAAAATAATGAGCCATAGCTGCCTGAAATCCTTTATCACCATCACACCTTATATTATCTACTCTTTCATGATCTAGTAAGTATTGAATAGCTCTTCTTGTTTCCTGTTCTGTTTTCCCTTTCACCGGAATGCAATATAAATATCTAGTGTTAATGTTAATGGCAAATAAATAAGTAACTTTTCCTTTTGAATATTCCAGATGATCGATTTCGTATGAATATGGATATGGTGCAAATGAAGGGCGACTGAATTTTTCCTTTAACGGTTGAATTTTTGGGTCAATTGGTTTATTTAATATCTTGAAATCCTTTTTAAAATCTTTTTGCTTCTTTAATGTTTGAAATGGATATAATAAAGTGAATGATGAAGGATTAACTGAAGGATGAGGAGGTACTGTCGTTGGAGGTTTTGGTGTTGCAAGTGGTTTAATTTTATCTGCTTTGATTTTGGATGATGAAGTTTTGGATTTGACACCCACTTTCATTAATTCTGGATGTATTCTGTTCATTTGTTTTAAATATGCTGTATATAAAGGTTTGATATACTTTCCCGCTTCGAGTTTATGTTGAAGGATGAATTCCAAAAGTTGATCTTCATTTAAAAGTTGGGCTGAATATGGTTTAACTAATGAATCATAAATTAAAGCTTGTGCTTCATTTATGGTCTGAAGGACCTGGGCGTTTTGCACCTTTAGCTGTTGAACATTTGCTACTTTCTCTTTTGGTGTTGTTTTCGGCTTTTTCTCTTTTGGTGTTGTTTTCGGCTTTTTCTCTTTTGGTGTTGTTTTCGGCTTTTTCTCTTTTGGCTTTTGCGGCTCAGGATTATATAAATTATATAATTCATCAATATCTTCTTCTGTTAATACTTTATTTTTGAAATCTTTCAACTGTTTAAGTTGTGATTTAGTTTTTTCCTTTGTATATTCATTATTTTTAATTTTGTCTTTAATTTTAGAAATTATTTTATCATGATATTTCAAAATTTCATTTTTATAATATGGATAATAATAATCCATATCATCACCCGTTATATTTTTATTATATTTTTGGAGATATGATTTTAATTCATAATAATTAGGAAAATATTGATTAAGTACTAAATCATCAATTAAATTTTCTAAATCTGCATTATCCATTTATATAAAAATAAAATAAATGTTTTAGGGGTGCCCACCTCTTTGAATCATAGTATCAAAACCATCATTTACATATTGAATCACATCATTAACGGTTCCTTTTGTCTCTTCTGTGGCATTTTATTAAAAATAAAATAAATGTATTAAATAAATGGCATACAACATCCATTTTCACAACATACAGCCTTAGTGTGTGCTCCTGTTAATGCAGTCTTACCGATTGTTAAGCGAGTCATTGACCCGTTTTTAAGTTGTAAATTAATATTCTGACCATCGAAAATAACTTTATCATTTATTATATCCAAATAATTTTTAGGTGTTAATTGTTTATTTTGTCGTAAACTAACACCTTTCATTTTTTGTGCAATCTTTTTAAAATCACTCCCATCAATTGAACCGTTGAATGAAGTATAACATTTAGGACATAAAGCAACCATGTTATCACCTTGTTTCTCAATTGCTAAACCCAATAATTTTTTCTCATGTGCTTTTTCTTCAACTTTATTCTTTAATTTAGGTTTAAATTTCTCATCAAAACAGAAGAAATCAAAAGGTGCGAATTTGAAAATGTTTTTATCATAAAATTTTTTATCGGTAACAATTGCTTGAAATGCTTGAGTGTTAGGAAGATTTGGATCGCCAGCGATTGCCCAATAAGATGAATCAGTATCACCTTCAATGAAATGAAAACGATTAACATCCAAGCATTTATACATAAAATCATAAATGAAAACTAAATACCAGTATTTTGCGTTATCTAAAGTAAAAAATGCCTCTTGTAAACATGTATCACATCTATAAAATCTATCTTTGAGCATCACTTGATATGTATCCTCTCCTATTTCTCTTATGTTTTTAAACTTATTTGACATACATGCAACGCGTGCCTTCTGTGCATTCATTATTTTAGTCTTTGCATAATTTTGTGTATTCATTGCATCGTAACCATATGATCCATTAAGTGAAATTTTGCAAAATAAACTTTTTCCTTTATTTCCTTCTAATTCAGCCTTTTGTCTTTCGTTCATAAATTCGTTCGCAAATTCATTAAAACAAGTGTTTTTAGTAAATGTTAAAATTGATTGAATGTCATCGATGATAAAATTAAATCTATCTATTAGATACCATAGATAATAAGAAGAAAATGGTTGATATTGGTTGTGTGTTGATGCTAACTGAGTTAATTTTCTCTGTTTCTGGTCAACTGGTAGATTGTTTGATTTCATGTAATTATACATAAAACCCAATTGTTTTTTCATCTGTGATAATATCTAAGTTTCTTATTATCGGTAAAAAGTTTATGTAATCATTAATGTATTTTTCATCAATGTGACCCTTTACTTCAGCCACGAATAAAGTATTTTTCTTCTTAATTATTCCCAGTGCTTTTGCTTTCTTTGTTGCTGTATCACAAATGATAACTCCATTCAATCTTCCCGGCATATACATTTTATGGTCAGTATATTGAATAAATCATGGGATTAGATGAAAATGATGAAGGATATAATGAATTAAAGTCAACACCAACAAAATGAGTCATAATGTTGGTGGTGTCCTCATTTGATACAGTTTTAGTTTCTGGATTATATGAAAGTTTATTAATGTGTGTGATTCCTTTAAGATTAACACGATGTTGAACATTTGATAGACCACCAGTAATTCCATTACGGAGGATGTGATAAGCTTCAACTGAATCTAAAGTCATTGGTAAATTATTTTTTAATGTGTAATTTCTTAAATTGATTCTTAAACGTTGAACATCTTCATCTTTGTTTGATTTTACGACATTGCAATAACAACACATTAACTGACAATTTTCTTTAGTATGTGGTTTTTCATTATCTATTCTATCTAATGTTGGTTTATTAGCATATGTAAACGCTTTACCACACATTTTGCATTTAGATGAAAGGATTAAATCGTGATAGTATTGAAAATCATCCATTGAAACATTATTTTTAGTATTCCTTTCTGCTTTTTCATCTTGTTTCTTATATGATTCAATTTTATATTTCCAATACTTTTTCGTTAATTCAAAACTTGATTCTATCTCTTCCTCAGGATATTTTTCATTAGGATTAAAGTCTTTATATGCTAAAGCGTAACGAATCATTGAAGCATTCGATGATAAAGAAAGATTATGAAGCATATCAATTTTATAAACAAATGTTTCTTCGATAATTTTATCAATTGGGTCAATCATAATTTCAACATCTTTATTGCAATAATGAATAAAATATTCTAATCTATTCTTAAAATTTTTAGCATCATTGAGATATATTTGATAATCACTATCTGATATAGTTTCTTGAGTTAATGCTGAATAAAATGAATCTTGAGTGAATGGTTCCTCTTTATATAATTCTTCTTCGTAATTCTCCCATGTGATAAATTGATAAGGGAAAAAGGATTTAACACGTGTTTTATTGTTTCCGAAATCTTGAGTGAATTGGTCCAATGTTCCACCCGCTATATAATTTCTGATGTCAATAAATCTCAATTCATATGGACAGTTTGTTTTCTTTACAATGATTTGCTTAAATTGTGAAGAAGAACCCAGCATTGATTTTATTTTCCATTTTGCAGTGTTTAAATCACGAAGAATTAAATTTAAATCAAACTTTCCCGAATTAAAACCTATGATATTCACTTTATTAAATTCCTCATCTAGAAGTTCTTTAAATGCTTCCTTCTGTTTTTCATTTAATGTCGTTTGCGGTTTCAATAATTCATCGTATTGTTCAATATTTGATTTAGCAACTAATGAACAGGTTGAAAATAAAAATTCAATCCAGTCAGAAATAAAAGAATCACTTGAAGTTAAGCAAAAATTCCTCGTATACGTTTTATCGCGGTCTACGACCTCGCCGCAAAGCGGCTTTAATTTAACTGTTGATGATACCATGAATGGTTTTAAGTAAGCGTTCAAAGTTGCACACTCAGAAAGTTGTAATTCTTCTTTAGTCTCTAATGTTTCAAAGTCAAAAGTAATATAATATCTTGTTGGTTTATAATATTTCTGCAAATTATGAGCTAATAACCACTGATATATCTTCTGTTTCGTAATATGTGGTGCATATGGTTGTTGAGTCTTTTGCAATTGAACGTCTTGAATTAATCTTCCATTATTTTCTTTACATTTCTCACAATGCTTTAAAAATCTTCTTTGGTTTTTCCTTTCTGGATCATCACGGATAGAATAAACTTCTTCTTTGCAAAAGGGGCAAACTTTATATCCTGTGAGTGCTTCAACGTCTGTAATTCTGTCAGCGTGAAGTTTTCCACATGGACTCTGTGTTAATAAAATATTTACTGTTTCAAATTCTGGATCTATCATTATTGATTCCACTAATGGAAAGTCTACCTTATTTATGTCCACGTCTTCTGGTTGAGGATCACAATAATAGAAATCAATATTAACGTTTAACATTCTCGCCAATCTCTCACTTTCTGATGTAATGTCAAACCCTTCATATGCATCTATTGCTTCATTTAAATAGCTTCTACGAGTTTTAGGATTAACACCATCAGGAATGTTATAGAAACGTTTAAATAACCTTCTACCTTCTGCTCTAATTTGATTATCATTCATTTTAGCTGTTCCGTTTTTGTTCATTTATGTAAGAACAAAAATTAAAAAAATAAATAAAAATAAAGTTTATTTTTAAAGTCCGAGACTCAGAGAGTCCAGGGCTAAAGCCCATAAAATGAATTAAGGACACATAAATTTTTATCATCTGCAACGTGACGGATACATTTTAATTTACTCAAGAATGCGTACCCTGATACATTAAATCTAATTCCTGTCTTATTTAATTTCACAACTTTGAAAAGGAATGTATGAATAGCTATAAAATGATGAGAAGATGTTTTATGGGTTGCTTCCATTTTTTCTGAAATAAATGAATAAATATAATGCTTATACGTTTTCATATCTTTTATATTCTTAATAACGAATGGTATAGACTTTTCAACTTCATCTTCCTTCGGTGCTGTTCTTTCATATGAAACATTATTGGTATCTTCAACAATGAAACCACAATCACATAAAATTTTATATGTTCCAATTGTTTCTTTTATATTTTATCTAATAAATCAAAAACTTTATCAACACCTGTGCATTTATTTAAATAATAATTTGTGTAAATATCATGATCTTCTTTCTTAATCGTATTAGTTGCATATGTCACGTTTTTAGAGCTTTTTTGAATTTTTCGAATCAAAGGGGTGAAAGTAGGATACAGGGGTATTCTTCATTATCAATAAATTGTAACTTATGTTTACGAATAAATTTAGTACCTTCTTCTGAAAGTGTTTCGTCTATTTCACCATCTAATAAATTTTGTGTTGATTCTGAGACATAATTTTTATATCTTTCTTCATGAGATTTCTGAACTTCTGATTCTGAAGCTGGGATATTCATTAAATCCTCTACTTCATTTTCATTATATTTTTCAACTTCTCTTAATTCCTTAATTTTTTCATCTATTTCATCTCTTATTTTTTCCAGTCTTTCAATTTCATCGTATTCATCATCTTTAATCCGTTCTTCATAATATTCAGGGAAAACATCAGGTTCTTTAGGTTTTTCTTTTTCAGATGTAGGATATAAGAAATTTAAAACATCATCTTTATTCATTTTTCCATCATAACTAAACTCATTTAAAAACTCGGCAAATTTTTGACAATTTCTTAAATAATATTTACTAACTTCATAACCCGCCTCCTCTAATATATCCATTATTTCCTCGTTTGTGAATCCTAATTTTTTCACGTCGTTAGTTTTGACACTCATTTCATACAAAATAAAAATAAATTATTCAAAAATGTAAGACATGAATTTTTAAAGTTTATTTTTTAAAAATTTTTTTATTTCATTATGGTAGTGAATCTTTCATTCATGAAAATAATTATTTCTAATTTCTTTTACTCTCCCATACATACTAGATTTAAAGAATTCAGAACATTTCCCATAATCTCCTAAATGTTTTCTTATCCCTAACGTGTGCCAGTTATTATATGAAACTGAATAAACTTTATCTTTATCTTTACACCTTTCATCACTTTCATCACTTCCAATATATTTATATCTCAGTTTTGATTTAGCATTTTCATATTCATTAGCGTTTAATAATTCACAGTCTTCCTTTTTAAATTGATGTTTAAGATATTCAGGATTTAATACTCTACGTTTATATGCTCCTAACTTAGTTCTAAAGGTTTTTCTACAAAATTTAGGAATTCCATCCTCTTTAATGTCATCAATGATTTCCATTTCATTATTTTCAATTTCTTCTTCTCGTTTATGAGGTCTTTGATTATGACTCCATTGATTCCATGAAATTAAATATTCTTTATCATTATATTTATACCTCATTAGCTTATTTTGGCTTTCATATTCATTTAATAATTCACAATCTTCATTTTTAAATTGAAGTTTAACCCATTCAGGATTTAAACGATGTTTAATTAATCGCGGAATATCTGACATCATCTATATATAGATTATTTTATAAAAGATAAAAAATAAATTATTTTAAAATTAATGTTAATTTTTTAAATGATGTGTTTAGTATATAATATTTATTACTAATTTATTTAATAATGTCGCGTTTTCTTACGAATTCATGACTTAAAAAAACGTAAGAAAAAATTTTATATCATCTATATATAGAAGATAAAAAAATATACCTCCATCTATATATAGACGTAACAAAAAAAGTCACACAACCCGCACTCTTATACTACTTGGCCAGCCACAGGACCTCAAAATTTTGCCATTATTATTTTGTTGTGGGATTATTCCATTTGAAAGCACAACTATGAGTTTGAAACGAAGTGTAATAAACAAAAATTCATCAAAAGTGACAGCTCTCAATTTTTTGACATTTGTAAATTCTAAATTGAATGAGAAAAATGAAATAATACTAAGCATAATATAATATACTAGATTTAATTATAATTAGGAAAAAGTTAGTTTTGAGAGTACTTTTCATAGGCATATAGAATGAAATCTTCTGAAAAATAATATCACATAAACTCATATTATTTTCTAATATATAACTATTTTATATAAAAATCAAATTCAATGATCTTAAAAGCGAAGGATAAACCTCAAAATTTACGAATATAATGAGTGGGAATATAATGCTTATCTATCATAAAACCATATGAAATATCAATTTTTGCTTTACGCCTAATTTTTGACGACAATTAGCAAAAAATGTTAAATGTTAACACTCAGTCCATTTGAATATGAAAATAAAATTGACTTTGATTAAATGTTTTATTTATCATGCAATTCTTCTTGCGACCAAAGATTTGAATAAAAGTTCAAAAAATAAGAAAGCTTAAAAAATAATATACGGTAGTGTTTACTAATAGATGAATAGTATATAAATTCTATTAAAATGGATTTGATCCAAAAAAATATAAAACCAAAAATAATTGTTATAATTTAAATGAAGAAGTAATTTAAAACGATTTTATTTATGATCAAATTTTATAATTTTTTTGGATCAAATCCATTTTAATAGAATTTATATACTATTCATCTATTAGTAAACACTACCGTATATTATTTTTTAAGCTTTCTTATTTTTTGAACTTTTATTCAAATCTTTGGTCGCAAGAAGAATTGCATGATAAATAAAAACATTTAATCAAAGTCAATTTTATTTTTCATATTCAAATGGACTGAGTGTTAACATTTAACATTTTTTGCTAATTGTCGTCAAAAATTAGGCGTAAAGCAAAAATTGATATTTCATATGGTTTTATGATAGATAAGCATTATATTCCCACTCATTATATTCGTAAATTTTGAGGTTTATCCTTCGCTTTTAAGATCATTGAATTTGATTTTTATATAAAATAGTTATATATTAGAAAATAATATGAGTTTATGTGATATTATTTTTCAGAAGATTTTGTGTTCTTCTTCAAAATTTTATTTTTTTTATTAAAAAGAATCTTTACAAAATATACATTTACTTTAATTAATATTTAAAAACGTGCTCTATCAAAAGTTCCAAAAATTCAATATTTTAGCTTTTCTGATGTGTCACTTTTGATGAATTTCTGTTTACAACAGAAGAAAAGCTAAATTAGTAATGGATCATGAAGTTGAAAGGATTGATTTGTTGGTTTATATATTGAGGCAAAATTCATCTGAGATATGTTTAGTTATCATGTACAGAAGATGATGTTTCAATAAAAGAATATGTTATATCAAAATGAGAATTCAACGATTATTACAAATTCAATTTATTTAGAATGTTCTGACCGTATTAAATCTTATTTGGCATCCGGTATTATTTTTCATAATTTAAGGGTTATCGTAAATAATTCAAATCGTATCGTACTTTTCAATAACGATCATATAATTACAATATTATGAATGCGAGTGAAAAATACTTCTTAATTTAAGATGTTGGAATTGAATTAATTGAATATTCAACTTGCCATTTTCAAATATGAATATGATAATAGAATAATAATTTATTAAAAAATAATAAACGGTTCCATTAATTAAAAAAATAATTCAAAATTTGAAAATGTGTATTTGATGCATAAATTAAATGTACATAAACTATTGATTTATTACATGAAATTATAAACATTCTCAATTTTTGTATATTTCAATGTTTATTTTTCTCCTGAAATTTTATTTGCAATTTTTTTAATAAAATTATGTATCCAGACAATCAAGCCGGTCAAGCGATTCCAAATTCGGCTTCGATTGATGGAACAAGTCAACTATATAATATCTATAGTTCAGATGGCTATGTTGATTCACATTTTCCCCTATGGAGCCAACTATTTCTTGAAGTAAAGCTTCCGATTGAAGTAGTTTACCCATTTATGCTAGTATTCTTTATTCAAACACTTAGTGTCTCACTATACATATGGACTGACTACTGGCAGCAAGAACAAAACTATGAAGTTCAAAAGTGGGTAAGGACTATTATGTTTTGGCGTCCAATTCCTAATAAGGATTACTATTGTCTGATTCTTGCCGCAATTTTTTTCTTTATTAATATAGCATTTTTAATTATAGACACAATACAAATGTCATACTACAGAATCCAAAGAAAATTCATATCGGCACTAATATATCCATTACGAATTTACTTCGATACATTCTTGGTTACATTCATTGTTCCAAATCTCGTTAATTTAGGAGAATCATTTGCGATGATTGCAAATGGAAACCACTCTGTAGCAATCGTTTTTGCGTTTATTTTATCAATTGCTAATGAAATTTACATTTATAGTTCAGTTAAATTCATTCAGTCCTTTGCAGCTATCTCAGTCAACATTAACGTTTCACCACTACTTAACTTCGACTCTACTTTCATAACAAGAGTAATGGACTGCCTACATGTTTCAATTTTAATGTTCTTTCTGGTTAATTTATTCGAAAAATGGTCATATATTGTTGATATAATAATTCATGTCCTATGGTCACTATATTCACTCATTTATCTAATTAAAAATATGATATTTGTTGATCCATTTATAAATGGATCATCACTTGGCCTTTTTCTTTCATGTTTCGTTGCAGATTTCTCAAGTATTGCACTTTACTTCTATAAAGACAGCCGTTGGTACGTTGTTATAGGCGCGATTTTAGTCTCATTTGGAATTTTTATTCTTGCATCAATATTATTTGTTTACATCCGCCTTAAACGGATAAAACAAGATCTAAAGGCAGTTTATCTCAATCAAGACGAGTATAATTATTACTATGACGAATTAAATTTGAAATATGATGAAGAAAGAGCACTTATGTACTTAAGAATAGGGTTCACTTACAATTGTCCATGCTTTTATAACTGGTCTTTAGTAAATTACATTGAAGAAAATTTCGATTCAGAAAAAGCCATCAGTTTATGCTTATTTTTTGCCAATTTCTTTCCAAAAGAGTTCCGATTACAGAACAGGCTCGAATCGAGGCTTCTTAAAAGCAGAAAGTTACATTATTTGACAAGATTTCTTTTATATCAGGTTGAAACCGTCAAATCAGTCAGGCAATCATCGGACAACACAAATGCACATTTAAAACTCCTTGAAATAAGAAACCAGTCAAGACAATGCGAAATGATGACAATAGAAGGTTTAGACGATACAAAACTTGACAAAACTTATTTTGAAAGCCTTAGTACAAAATGTTCCAGAACAAAAGCAATGTGGAGAGAAGCTTTAATTAATTTCCCGAACAATCCTAGATTCTGCGAAGAATATTGCCGATATTTGGTCGAAGCAGAATGCAATTTCCCAGAAGCGATAAAAGTAAAGAACAGACAATCAAACATCGAACTTGGACACACTTACTCAATAGATCATTGCTTCAGGAGTATGGTTGCTGCATTTCCTAACTACTTGATTGAAAAAATTGTTGATTTTGAAGGAAGAATCATAAGAGATGATCAAACAATTGAGAATGATTCTTCAAGAGGCTCATTCAGAGATTCATCCAATAATGACAACGAATACGGTTCTGTAGAGACCGATTTAGATAATGAACTCGAAGAATATATTGCCAAAAACACAATAAGAAAGTCAAGGGCCAGATTAGCTTTACATAGACTCCTTGAGACCAAATTACCTTTTTCAATTCGTTTTATCAAAACATTATCCATTCTTTTGAGTCTTTTTATTGTTGTTTTGTTCTTGTTTGGCTTTATTTTCTCATCAGTTAATGTCAGACACAACGTGAAGAACATGAACCAGCTTGATTATATTGCTAATGCAAGATATTACTCAGCATTGTCAAGTATTTCGATCATGGCTGAATACATGAGATTGAATGGATTATTTGACAAATATCTGAATGGTGTTGAGCAAATTATTCAGGATTTACCTGATAAAGTCACTCCTGCAGTGAATTTTTCTGGTGAATTGCAACAGCCGATGCTTTATTTCATGCATTATGCAGCAGAAAACTTCACTGCATTAATGAAAATGTTATCAAAAGAAGCTAATGTTGATACTAGCATTTATCCTTATCTACAGCCACTTTTCATTAATAATCTTGATTGCTACATTTATTATTTAGATACTGCAACATATTCAGCAGGGAGTTCTCAATTTGTTGCTGCTTTACCAAATATTTTTGCCCAAATGTTCATATATCAAAGATATTTGGCAGGTGTCAGTGAAGAAAAAATGGCAACACTTTCTTATGATCCTGATGCATTCGAAATTGCAAATAATTTCGAATCTTTATATAAGGGCTCTGTTTTCTTGTTTACTAATCTTTCTGAATTTCAACAAAACAAAGTTTCTAATCTTCAAGTAACATTTAAGAATTTTGCCAAATCATTTCCCATCATAACTTTTGTTGTTATGTATTTTCCGCCACTTATTTTGCATCTCTTCACTCTAAGAAGTGAAAGGAATTTGAGGGAAATCTTGAGATCCATTGATTCAACAGAAAAGGCAAATGCAGCTGACGCAATTTTAATAAATAAGAAAGAAGATGAAATTAAATTCGCCGATAATTCAAACAGCAGTGGTTTAAGAATTTATTTGTTGCTGATTTTGAATTTTTTGGGAATTTGTTATGTTTTGATAGTTTTGGGAGGCTGCTTTATAATGATCAATGTTTTACAGGATTTAATAAAACTGAATGGATGGAATGACTTTGCCTGCAGAAGAATGGCACTTTCAGCCGAATCTCTAAATACATTAATCATATCAATAGTTTTGAAGGATATTCATGGAACTTTTCCAAAGACTTTGACACAACATTTTATCAATTTGGCATCAAATGTTTTGGATAGTTTGTACGAGGCTGATCAAAATTTAGTATCAGGAACAAATACTACAGAACCTTGCATAGATTTTGACGAAGAATTAGATAGTTATAATATATACGATGGTCATTTACAAAATGACACAAATAAACCGTATAAATATTACTACAATGCTTCGTTGCATCAACAAATCGGTATCTATAAGAGTTATGCATCACAAATATTGATGGATGCCGAGTCAGATAATAACAATATTACAATATCTGATGCAATTAATGCATTGTTTATATCAGATTATGTAATGTTTGACAGACTTTTAGTAGTAACACAAAGATTCCTTGATCTTTGCCAGAAACAAGTCACAAAGATGGATATTTGGTTCGTAATGATAGAATTACTCGCTCTGTTAGTAATGATTTGCTTCTTACTAACCGAATTCTATTATTATCATAATAGAGTCAAATCATTCAATGGTGGCTTGTCAATTTTGAAGAGAATTAATCCATATACATTGCTGAATAACAAGAATTTCTCAAAGATGTTCCTTAACGATGAAACAGACAGTCCGATTGAAAAACTTTCTCTTGAAGGATTGATAATTAAAGGTGCAAATGATGCAATTTTCGGAACTAATGTTTACGGAATTGTTGAAGTTGCAAATAACTCTGTTACTTCTTTACTTGGATACACTCCTGAACAGATTTTAGGTCAAAATGTTACTTCTGTATTTGCTCCGGAATATATCGAGCAAATCAACGCAAAACTTGATCAGATGAGAAACAGACAATCATCATCTTTCTTCGAAGGAGATTTTTGCGTTATTTCTGATGCTTCTAAAACAATTCCTGTTCATTTATCAATTATAGGAATGAAAAATGGATACAATGATAATGTGAACAACTTTGTTTTAGTTCTTAGAAATGATGAAAAGCTTGTAATGCAGATGAAACAAGCAGAAGATGAAAAGAAGAAATCCGAAAAACTTTTATATCAGATTCTTCCAAGAGATATCGTTAACCAAATTAATAGAGGAGAAAATGATATTTCTTTCAATGTAAGTACCTGCTCAATCATTTTCATTGATATAAACAAGTTCTCGGAATACGCAGCAAATTTGACTCCTTCAATGATCATGACAAATTTGTCTTTCTATTTCTCTGTGCTTGACAAAACAGCCGCCAAATATCCTTTATTGACAAAAATCAAGTTGATCGGAGATATTTACATGGGAGCAAGTGGATTGTTTCCAACAGAAGATATGACAAACGAAAGTCATGCAGAGCAGACATGTTTATTTGCACTCGATGTTATGTATCAAATGGATGAAATCAACAAAAGACTTGATACAAGCTTGGGAATTAGAGTTGGAATAAACACAGGAGGTCCAATAATTGCCGGCGTTTTGGGAACTGATAAACCATTGTTCGATATAATTGGAGATCCTATTAATGTAGCTTCAAGACTCCAATCAACTTCAGCTGTAAACCATATCCATGTTAGCAAGGAAACAGCTGAGTTAGTTAAAAGCATGAACTTTGACGTAATTCCAAGAGGACAAACAGCTTTGAAAGGAAAAGGTACCCAGCAGACTTTCTATATTTCTGCTCCACATTACCACTTTAACAGTTCATCAGGCAGTTATATAATGACAAAGTAATTTATATTATTATATTAATGAAAGAAATTAGATTCAATTTCTCTTTTTATTTCTCAAATAAAGAGGGAAATTGAACTCATGCACACTATTTTGTTTATAAAATTTTGTTTGTATTGTTTATTTAATTATAAAATATTCTTTATACATGTTATCAAATCAAAATTATTTTACACTTTTTATTTCAGATATGAAATTAGGAAGTTTTGATTTTTGGAAAGAATACAGAAATCTATTCCTATTATTTAATTGATTTTATGTAAGATATAATTAAATTATACTGTCATTGAGCAAATAAATAATTCCCAGAGATAAAAAGAGAATTCTATCGAATCATATGGCATAAACAAAGAGCTATTTAAAAATTAATTTACATAATTTATCTTTATTCGTAAAAAAATATTTACATGTTGAATTTTCCGAACATTTCATGGAGGAGTGTAGTCTGCTGTTCTCCTACACCAGTGTCAACGATTCTTTCAGCGACAACTCTCTGCTCGATAAGATGATTTCGAGAGAAAGCTCTCAATCCAAAGGCCATTTCCATTAATTGGTCTTGATCGATCATATTCTTCTCGCAGTTAGAGAGGAGATTCGTAAACTGACTTAATTTCTGAGCTTTGAGGAATTCTTCTTGGTGAATCCTCAAAAAGCCAACGGCAACTCTGTAGATGATCTTGGGACCTTCGACAAGGAATGAATCCCAGATTCTAAGGACGGTAGGAATTGGAAATGAATTGGAGAAAACTGTAAGAAGCCAACCGGAGGCTGTAAGCATCCATTCGTGGTGGAGCTTTGTTGCGTGTTTCCAGACTTCTGGAGTTCTTTCGTGTAAAATTGAATTGAATAATTGCAAATCAACACGAAATCCGTGCATTCCTGCAGTGTAGTAATCTGCTGGTAAGAAGTCTTCAACGATTGTGCATAGAGCATGGTAGGCTGGTTCATCACCCAATACAACTAGTAATAAAGCCGCAATAAAATTGAGAGATTGGCAGTAACCAATTTCAGGATGAGTTACTGCAAAAGCAATCAAGATTTTACGCAAAATATCTTTGGATAAATTTTCTGCATCATTAAAAGTTCTTTTGAGATCATTTTCAATAATATCACGATAATTTTTGGGAACAACTTCAACCATTTTATATGATCTGTGATAAATATCGTTAGATTTTGAGATTTTTTCTTCGAGTCCAAGGATTTGACCCCAAATCATAGGTCTTAATCCTTGAGGAATTCCTGCACGAATTAACTTTTTGAATTTTGAAGATTTTACATAGATTTTCTCTATTCCGCCTGCACTTTTAATATAATTTGTCCAAACGTCACTTTGTTTTTGTTCGCGAGTGGCACGCTCACTTACATATTCGTCAATAAGTTTTTGGGACCATTGATTGCAGAATCCATATTCATCAATAAAAGGAATACTTTCACTCATCGATATTTGATAGAGAAAAAGAAATGATAGCAATTGAAAAGTTTACATTCATTTTCACGGTTCGATCCAAATCGTTAGATACTTTGGAAATGGACTAAATAAGGGATGTATATGCTTTTTCTAAATTAAGAACAGCATTATGTAACAATTTCAACCGGAACTAGGATTCTCAAATAAAAAGTCACTTTTTTGTTACAAAGAAATGTTACAAAAAAACAAAAATAAATTAATTCTCATTTGATCGTAATACGATGCATAGTTCTCTTATTCAATGTATGCCTTGAATTTAATATTAATAACCAATATTTCATGAGTTAACAAAACTATAATTGTCATTTCGCGATGTCAGGACTTTCCTATCCAGTTTCCTTGAGTAACATCAAATGTTATACCAAACGGTTAGTTGCACGATCATAATTACGTAAAAAATATCTTACAGTATACGGAAAATTTGGGTCTTAAGCTCACTTTTGGTCTTATTTTTTTGACAGGGTGGGCCGCATAAATATCTGTGAAATGTACTTAGTATGAAATTAAGGTGTAGTCTAATGGTTAAAACCGCCGGATTGGCTTTATTTTTGGGGTCCAGAGTTCGAATTAAGTGCCAGACATTTCTTTTTTTTTCTTTTTTTATCAATGAAAAATAAATAGAAGATTGCTATTTGTAAGAAACAAGTAAACTGTTTTTAGTCATATATATTGAATAAATTAAGATTACTAATAATAATTTTGTGAATTTGACTCAAATTTATTAATATGAATCAATTGGATGTTCTCAAGTTCACTATTCATACCAAGAGACTTAGTCAATCTTGGTATAACTGAATTATCCATATCAAAACATTTAAATTTTCAGAATTGTTCTATATTGTTATAGGTGGAAGAGCAATTACAAACAAAAAATGTATTTTAAGATAGGCAGATACAAATAGACTGTAAATTATAAAAAACATAAAACAATATTCTAAAAAATTTTTATTCTTATGAAAATATTGATTGGTTATAACATGTATCTAATGGTCTGTTTGAATCTCATATAAAGCAAAATTGAAAATTATTGAGATAATATCCAAAATATAATTATTTTAATTTGAGATACAACTATGGTAATTATGTATTATAATGATATTTGTTGTAAGTTCTTATGTTTGTATGATCATAAATCAAAAATATAAGAATTTTTTGTTAATTTCTTCGGCAATCCATTATTTAAACTTCAAATATCTATTGTCACATGCTAACATACATGAAACTAATTAAAGGGGTATATCGTAAATAAGTTATTATGAATAAATAGAGAAATTGAGGTGATTGTTTTGCAATTTTGAAATTTACTAACGCTTATGTTGAAATGTGATGTTATTCACATAATACCAGATCTCATGATTATAATAATAAAAATAATTTGAACAATAAATGAGATTGGTATTAAAAATTGGATTTTGACACAAAGCTGCATAATCAACTTATATACATAAGAATGTTAAGCGATTAACAATATTTCTTTCTCAGAATTGTTTAAAATTTAAAGATCAAAGTTCAAATATTTTGAATTTAGGATTAGAAAATCTTATAACTGTTTTGTACTTTGATTGTAATATAACCAAAAAGATTATTTTACAAAAATATGAGTATTTAAATACGAAATATATTATTCATGGATCAAATTCCGAATTGATTCTTATTAAAATAATTCTTGAGGATAATACAATTTATTGATATAATGAAAAAGAAAAAATAAGATGTATTCGGATTCGAACCTGGTTTTTCCGACCCCAAAAATAAAGCACGTTAGCAAATGAACCACATAATTATTTTATACAATTTTTATTTTTAGCTATAAGATTTTTCCCCAAACTTGCTTACCTGCAAATATACCTTCAGCTTCATAATTGATCAAAACTTACAAGGTCAAAGAGTAGCTTAATACTGCACATTTCAATATACTGTTTACTTCATTTTCAAAAATTATTACATATTGTTCAATTAACGATTTTTTCACAGATGACTTTACTAACAAAACTGACCCATTCGTATCGCTCATTACCAACTTACAAAGTCGAAAACACAAGTTTCTGCGTCCACAGAGCATATGATTTAATAACGGATATCATTTTTAAATAAATGTGTATCTATTAACAAGTATTTTCATTAAATCTCATACAACAGAGAAAGAATACGAGTCTAATATGGTCAGAGAGACTTGTGTCAGATTTTGAATTTTGTAGATTTCAACACAGTATCTCAATTTTGCATACCAAGATATGCACCTCTACAAATGCTTTTCATATCCACTCCGACTTCAAGCGTAAATACTTCCCATCTCTTACAATCATTACTTTTTTCGAACTCCCTAAAAATTTTTTTAAAAAAAATTTTATTTTTTGACACTTTGCAAAATCTTAATATACATAGTATATAGACGCTATGTTTTTCCAAGTTTTTTTGCCAAAGTATTCAAAATTGTGGGAATTTTGCGGTTAAAAATAAGACCCAAAATGATTTTAAGACCCACTTTTTCCGTATACTGTTATAAATATTTGATTCATTTACATTTTTCCATTTACAGTTAGACTATAGATCCGTATTTTTCCCAAGTGAGGGGGGTATCTCCAATCCCAGCCCTATCGTCCTCCCAGTGTCAGTTTTCAATATAAAATCCAAATTTTTTTTGAAAATAAAAATTTCGAGAAATTTTTCTGATTTTTTTTCTTTGATTTCAATAATTCAAAATAAATTTGGGACTAAAAAGACACTATTTAATGAAATTCATATGAGTGAATGTGGATAAATACTCTCAAAACATACAATTTATCTATTTTTTCTTTATATTATCAACTAATTAGTGATAATTTTTTTTGAATCAGATTTTTTTTTCATTAAAAACATAATATATAACACAACAATGATGCACACATACGTATCTACACATCAAAATATAAAGCTTGTTTTGGTCTGGGCATCCCAACCCAAAATTCTTTAAAAATTGAATAAAATTGAATACTTGGGGCTGGGATACCCATCCCAAAACCGAATTGAATTTTTTGAATTAAAGAATATATTTATGTATTTATAATATACATGTGATGTCTATAAAAAATACTAAATTCTAAAAAAAATTCAATTTATTCAAAACGTATACTAAGTGATCACTTCATTAGTAGGATCAGCAATCCTACTAAATGGTGAGAACGCCACTAACTAAAAAGGGAGTCCTTGGAGCTCTTGATCTCTTGTCAGTAGAGTTCATAATGAGGCATGGCATCTACTGATTAGAGATCAGAGCAATCCTACCTTACCTTCAGGAGCTACAAAGCTCCTAATCGTTACGAGAGGGAGCCTTGGAGCTCCTGAAGCTCATCAGCAGAGGCTATTTAGCATTTGGGCCTCTTCTGATGAAAGATGCGAAACACGTCTACGAACCAGGAGCTTCAAAACTTCTAATCCTTACTAAAGGGAGCTTTGGAGCTCCTGAGTCTCCATCAACAGAGTCCCAGATGGTAAATGTCCTTTGCTGATGAAAGATGCGAAACACATCTACGAACCAGGAGCTCCAAAGCTCCTAATCCTTACGAAAGGGAGCTTTGGAGCTCCTGAAACTCCTTTTACTATAAAATAGGACAGTTTTCTTCTGAGGTTCTCATCAAATCTAAGACTTCAGAAGAAAGCTGTCCTATCAATGTATACTTACACTCTCATGGACTACAAGTGTACAATTTTAAGGCAGAGATTATCCGAGGCCTCTCATCAAATGAGGGACCTCGGATAATCTCTACCTTAAGTAGTCAAATAACTTTTCTCACTATTTAGGAACAAAAGAACAAGAGTTGGAGTACTTTAAGGCAAGATTCTTCCGAAATCTCTCATCGAATGAGAGACTTCGGAAGGACCTTGCCAAATCCTTGAACGCCAATATCCTTGGAACTGAGCTAGAACCAGGGAGAAGTAGCATACTATAGAGCACGATGGTAATCTCGGAAATGCTTATATCGCCCCAAGCACAATATTTAAGAAGTCTAACTCATATATACAAGAAGTCAGGCTGAATAGATATTGTGCATATGGTTTGCAGAACTCTCATGATATTTAAAATTCATGTTATCCCAAAAAAGGTGACACTTTGGGTGTATCGTCCATCCCAGGGATGCAAAAATCAGATCACCTTGGATCTATAGTTAGACACATTATTTGAACCAAAGCAACTGTGCTTTAATTGGAGGCACTAACTAATATATTTGTGAAAATTTGATATTTTTATAACCAAATTTTTATTAATCAATACAAATACAAAGGAAATTAAAAAGATGAAAGGGACATGAAGTGTCCTACTGAGTCACAAAGAATCATATTTGGATACAACTGCTTTACCCACTTGGTAAAGAGCTGCTTGATATTCTTACGAGAAACAAGGGCAATAGGAACAACAAATATTGTTGACACAAAGTTTACAGATGCAAGGAGAGCCTGATCTCTTGTCCATCTGATAAATGGATTAGTGTATTCCTTTGCTGCAATAGAACCTAGCATCTGGCATGCAAACATTGATCCTAATTTAGAGCCTACCTGATTCACAAAGAAACCTGTGAATTCCGATGCTTTTGGCATATTGAATTTTCCTTCTTTGCGAGAAGTTCGGAATTGATCCAATGGAAAGTTAATTGCTGTGATAAGACCTGCAGTTGCTATGCCACCAGCTACATAAGCATAAATTTTGCATCCATTTTCATCTTGCGAATGATATTTGTATGATTGAGAAATATTTTCTAAAATTTTATCGGCTATTGGATGAGCAATAAATGTTGTGGCAGTGTGACAGCCGTGTAATACTGCATCTACAAAATCAATCGGGCAATCTGCACATTGAATTCCCCTGATAATTGTATTAGCAAATACGTCAGCTACTGCCGTCGTTAAGTATATATTTGTCATTTTCTTGAAGAAGGAACTCGTCTCTGTTGTCATGATGATGTATGGTCAAATATATTTTTTGTATTGATTTTATCGACCTTTTTCTGATTGAATTATGAGGAGCGATAGAAAATAATCTTATCTGGTTTCTTATGCACATGTGCAATATTTCAAATTTAATTAATTTCTTTCAAGGACTTACAAAAGTGATTGATTTTCCAGTTTTTGAGAAACGTTTCATAATTTTTTTATACAAATAAAACGGTCAGATGAACAATAGTGATTTCACTGCAATGAAGCATTATTGTATTTCACAAATATCTAGCGAAATATATCAAAACTCTTCATTTACCTAAAACTTCAATCGCAAAAAAATTTTATGCAAACAGAAAATAACACTGTAACTTAAAATAGTAGAAATATGGACGATAAATCTCTATTGTAACGATTGCATGAAGTATAATCTCTATAAAATCTTTATAGTTGGGCTAAATCTGTCATGTCTTCAAAATATGCTGATCTTGATCTGGGAACTTGCAAAAACTCACTCAACTTCGAGTCCCACTCGATGTTTGTGTTGCTATCCAAGAGATCAACATCATTGAAGCAATCGAGAGTGAAAGATGTAGATAACTCGGGCATATCGGGAGTATCATCGTAAAACCCGAGCTCAGAAACCTCAGGAAGGTCGAACTCGATCATCTTCTTCGATTGCTTCGAAATTGGCGGCGGAAGGATTGACTTTTGAACAGGAACCGATGGGACGCGCGGTATCTGGTGTGCTACAGCGGTATTCATACGAGAAAACTGCGCAATATTCTGCATTGAAGTTGCGGTTGTCATTTGCCTTTGAGGAAGTGCAGAATTCTGTTTCCTTTCATCAAACAAGTCCTCAGGAGTAATTGTTGGTAATTGTGAAGGCATAAAACGAGAAATATAGCAGTATTTTGCATCATCGGAAGCATATCGAACAGACCATTGTCTAAGAAGGTTTGGCTCGTTCGATAATGATGGTAAAACTGATAGCACGCAGTTTCTCGCCTTGGATTTCGTTCTGAGGGCAACATATCCGAGTTGTTGAAAGCTGCCGTTGATTGAGGACTTACATCGACCGAGAAATGTTTTTAACTGACGTGTATTAACACATATGAAAGGTCCAGCAAAGGCAATTCCAATTAATATGCATTTATTTTCTCTGAATGTATCGGATTTTTCTGTGTATTTCAAGACCATTTGCATTTCATTACCAAAAGAAACTAGTCGTCTGTCTTTCATTGATGCTTTTTGATTTTGATGAAATTGGTCTCTCAATTGAAGAAATTCCTGTTTCTCTTTAACCGACATATTTTCCCAATATGTGATTGGGACATCGGGATCAGCCCGGAAATAAAGGAGTGAGCCGCCATCTCGCTCCATCCCGAAAAAAAGGCAGAAAATTTCAGAGCATTGAAATTTTGTACATAAAGACACGGTTGCTGGTTATTCCAGCACCTGAAAATTTGCAAATCAAAGAGAATAAAAAAATAGATTTATATAAATTTTAAGCCAATTTATTTTTTTACTTGAAAAATGGTTTGAATATTAATTATATATATGAATCCGATGAATTTTAGAATTCTAAAACCATAAACTATTCAATTTTGTTGTAAATTGTTTTCAAAATACTGTTTATTGCCACTAAGAGTTGAACTATATGGGAAAAAAATTCCAAAGTGGAAAAAATTTTCATATGGGAAAAAATTAATAAAATGATGATAGACAATTGTCGTGAGCTTATGGATTTATATAAAGATTATATTGATATATTTAAGACATTATACAGGATAAATATGTTCAAAGAATGCGATATTGACAGGATTTACATTGATATCAAAATCAAATTGTTCGAAACAAAATTAATTTCACCAATTCAATTAATCTTGATAATATCAAATATGTTTCCATACAATAATCGCTATTTGAGGTCATATTTGGCCATATTCAAAAAGATTTATGACGATTATCATCCAAAGCAAGTCGGAGGCATAAATTATCTATTTGATTGTTTTATTTTTAAAGAGTATGGAGTCCATTATCACGTTAACCATACTTGTTTCTATGACGAATATAAAAATCTTCCAATAGATGTATTTGAAGAAAACACCATTTACATAGCAATAATGAATGACAATGTTAAATCATTTATATCATTCACAAAGAAGGAAGGATTTGATATATTTCAAAAACTTAAAAGCTATTTTTTCCCTAACGAATTCACTCAATATTCATTGCTAGATTTATGCTGCTATTATGGATCTGTTGATTGTTTTAAGTATTTAAGATCAGAGTATCACTTCACAATCACCTCATTATGTCTACAGTTATCATTTTTAGGAGGCAAACCTGATATTATGCATGAATGTTTGAAATACAATAGGCCAACACAAGAATGCATGCAATATGCAATAGCTTCTGGCAACGTTGATTTTGTAACCTTTTTGATGAATGATTTTGGTTTAAGAATTTACTTGAATGATTGCCGTTTATTCCATAATCTGCAAGCTTTTTTGATTTACTTAGATCAAACAAACGATGTCAGTAGATGCTTTCCTTACTCAGGATGTTTTAATATCCCACTTCTTTGTGAATTTTTGCTTTATAAAGGTGCGGATTTAAATGCATGTGACAATTTGGGTTATACTGCTCTTCATATTGCCACAATTCATAACAATAAAGAAGTTGTCGAGTTTCTTATATCACGAGGTGCTGATATCAATGCAATCAGCTCTGCAAATGGTTATTCTGCACTTCATCTTTCAATTAGTAATAATGATATAGAATTTGCAGAATTTCTTATTTCGCATGGTGCAGATCTAAATGTAAAAGAAAAACATGGACAAACTCCTCTGAATTTTGCAGCAATCAATTCTAAAAAAGATTTTGTAGAATTATTACTTTTACACGGAGCCAATCCAAATGAAATTGATTGTTGGGGAAATACAGCAGCATATTATATAAATAACTATTAAGCAATACATATAGTATGACAAATAAAAAGTGTCGAATTACTTTTTAAACCCGATCATCTTCATAATATTATAATAAATGCTTGATAATATATAATACAAATAATTTTAAACATACAAAATATATATATAAAATATATAAAAATTATGGTTCAACATCGAAAACTCCATCAGGATAAAATGCTTTTGGAGGCAATGGGAAGCTTCTTATGTAGCCATCCTCACAAAGGATAGTGAAGAAAACTTCTTCTGTTGAAATGGCAATTTGAATTGGTTTCGAGTGGATTTTTGCTGCCAAAACTTTATGTTCTGGAAAATAAGCATCGAAAGCCCAAACATTAAAATCTTCATCAACAGCCACAATTACGTCAAAGAAATCAGGAGTTCTCGCGGACGCCAAACATATAATTCTTTTTTCTATTGGAACTTTCTTCAAGTACTCTCCATTTACATCGAAAATCAGAATATCCTTTGACTCGCAAACAATTGATAAACCCCAAATTGGAGTAATACAAGTGATTACTTTGTTGTTTTCAACTTTATGAACACTGTGAACAATTTTTGTTGATGTGTTTATTTGAACCAAATTTCCATCTTTCATCACAGCATTTACTGCATAAACAGAGGACTGAATGAAGACACTTCTTATTGCAGATCTATAGCATTTGATTGTTACTCTTGGCTCTTTCATGTAAGAAGATTTGAAGACTAAAACACAAGAGTCTGCATCAGAAATGACAACATTATAAGTGTCGCAGTGCATTGCAGTAATTGGAGAGTTGTGAACAAAACATTGTTCAACTCTTTGTTTCTTTACTTGGAACAAATTAACAGTAACAGCATCAGAACAATACAAATATCCTTGAGGATGATAACACCAGATTTCAGGGAAATTGATGTTAAAAGAGAAATCAGCAAGATTGTAATCTTCTTTTTCATGTGAAAAGGCTTTAGTTCTGAACGTTCTTCCTGTTTTTTTCGTGTTGACGAAAGAAGCCAAAACCAAGTTTCTCACGGAATTCAAGTGACCCATTACGATTCTTGTTTCACTCAACTGGTATTCCCAGTTTTCTTCGTGAACTTTCAAGGGCTTTATTGTTGCAGAAGGATGAGGAGTAACAAACAATTGTTGAGGCATTTGACCAACAGTTTGATGTATTAATTCAATCTGCTCTTTATTTGCATTTCCATTGTTCCAAATTTCCGGATACATCTCAGGAAGATAAACATTTCTAGCGAGAATTGCTGCTTCTCCTTTTTGTTTGTATCCGAATATCAAATCAATCCATTCATTCAAGTGTTGTCTGACGTAATTGCACTCGAGTAATCTCCTGTGTTTGTAGATAAAATCGAATGGACTTGTTGACCATTTCGGCAATTCAACATCGGAAATTTTTTCTCCGTTCACTTGTCCGAAATCGAAATTGTTTTCGTTCTTGAGGAATTCAGGCGAGAAATAGAATTCAGGGATACATTCGTGGAAATCATTTCCTTTTCTCGCTTTCACAATCGAATCGAAAATATTCTGTGGCTCATCGAAAGTGTTTGATCCTTGAGTAATGTGGATAGTTGTGAATGGTTCCATTCTCACCATCCAGTTGCAAACAATTCTCGGATGAATTGGCGCGTAGTTGTAATGATAGGGAGTAATTCCAAATGATTTCAATCTGTTGAAATCTTCATCGAGTTTTGCATCTTTTTCTGGTTCTTGGTTTCCTATTGGTCTCGAGAAATCTCTGAAAATAGAAGTGTCTTTGATATCCAATTCGCAATTGTAGTTCTTCAAAACCCATGGCATGAAAGGATACAAACAAAGACTGGAAAATGTTCTTCCAGAAAGGAAATTCAAGAAAAGCAAATACTCGAAATTGGAGATTGTATGATTAAGCCAATTTTTCGTGAAATTGGAATCAGCAATGAAACTCATGAAATCTTTTTGCATCACGATTTTTGCTGATGACAATTTCGCTGGTTCAATTTCAGTTAAAAAGTCAATTGCATTAATATTCAAGAAGTTAATGAAATAAGAACTTCCATCAACATGGATTATCTCAATTGCTGTTGGTTTTTGCGACCATGTTTTGAGCAAAAGAGAATGAATTGATTGGAATCTGATGACTTTTACTGGTAAATCATTTCTCTGAATAGAAATGGAGTCATCAATAATAGACAACAAAGCTAATTGTGTTTTTGTTAATGAAATAACTTCACATTCCCATTCTTGAGAATCAAATCCAGCTGTTTTCTTTTTAAGTACTTTTCCACCATCTAATTTCACTTGTTTTTGCGCTTTTGCTGATTCATATTTATATTTCGCGCTTTCGTGATTATCAAATCTATAATTTTTACGCATTCTCACTGGAATCAAACCATGACATAAAACAGAATCTCTCTTATATCTGTACTTTCCATCCTGACTCAAAACAGCTCTTGCCCATGGAGCAGAATCAACAGTAAACAAATTAAATTGTCGTTTATAAATTGTTTCACATTCATATTGATCTCTTTTGATTTGATCCATGAATTTGATACAATTTCTTGCAGAGAACAAACCAGGATCTTCTGTTGGTGTCAGGCTTTTACTGATTACTTGTGATGCATTAACAATTTTCTCAATATATTCTTTGATTCTTTCGTTTGGATTTACTTCAAAATTAATTTTTTGTGCAACTTCAAAGAATTTTTCTTGTTGTTCTTTCTTCGATTTCTGCTGGAAATTACTTGAGAAAACATCATTCAAATAAGGTAATGACTTAGAAATTCTTCCGAAAACTTCTCTGGAAATGAATTTTCCTTCAAAACTGACATACAAACCAAAAATTTTATTTTTCAAAGGTTTGTAAGAGTTTTTAATTATATTATCGAAATACAAATCAGTTTGTTTAGTTACAAATGGTTGTAACCATGAATTAAAGCTCAATGCCATTAAGTTTTGTGTTTTTCTGATTTTTCCTTGTCTGTTTGACATTGAACATTTCATTCTGATTTGATTTGCGTGATCAAAGCTGCAAAAATCGTTTTCAAGTTCATCTGTTTCTTTTCCATAAGTTTCTTCCATCAATTCTTGTAATTCAGAAGATAATCCGCAACTTGGCTTACTTAGAAAACTGTTTTTGAAGACATTTACAATTGTTTGATTCAATTCTTTGTCAACACCTTTTTCAGTCAAAATCAACAATATCTGGTTCATGAATAACTCATGTCCCCCAAATATCTGTCCAATAGTATCAATATCATTCAATAAAACTTGATATTTCCTTATGTATTTCAATAAAAATTTCGCTCCTTCTTTCAAAACATTCAAATTCTTTTCTCTGCACAAAACTAAAATTAAAACAAAATACCAGCAATGGGGCATATGTTTTTGTTTGATATCTAATCTATTAAACAGCATTTCCAAACAGTTACTGTTATGCGCCAATACAAATAACAAAGGAATAGTGTTAATATCATTCAAAGACAAAATTTTTTCTGTCAAACTTTGAGAACCATAATTTGGTTTTAATTCCAAAGCAATAACAGTGAAATGCATGTAAGGATCAATTGTTTGCATCATGTTCATCTCATGTGCATGACAGAAGATCTCTATAATATTAAATTCGAGCTTTTCATTTCCACAACCAATTAAATATTGTAAATTGGAAATACATGAAAAAATTGTCACATTTGCTTTTTCAACAACTTGCATAACAATCATTTTCAAGACACTTACCATTTCTACAGCATTCTGTTTATCATACGACGTCAAAGCTATTCCTACCATTTGCTGCAATTGTACATTATTTACATTTCTTACTGCTCTTTTCTTTATCATTTTAAGAATAATTTTTCTTGCTTCCAAATAATTTTCATCTCTTTTTATTTCAGGGAATTTGAGATATTCCTTTTCAACATCTTGTTCATAGAAATATGATCTTAAGGAAAGAATTAATTCAGAAAGAGGAACTTTCATTTTCTTGTCAAACCAAAGATTGACGATTTTCAACAAATCTTCTGAACTGCATTTAAACCACAAATCTAAATTAAACAAAATACTTTCATTCAAATTGGAAATCAATTTCGGACTCAATAGTTTTTGGCTGACAAAATCAAATTTCTGATATAAATCAAATGATAAAGTTTTTTCTGACATTAAAACCGCCGATATTTGGCCGAATCCAAAATCATTTTCAAATTCACGTTCATATTCTCTTCCTGAGTTAATTAACTTGAAAATTAATGAAATAACCCTGTCGAAATAGTCGTCATTTTCTAATCTGGAATATTTCAATAATGGAATTAAAACTGTCAAACCGTTGACACTTTTCAAAGTTTGAATTAAACCGTTATTAAAAGTTGGAGGAGTTTCAACGAATTTTGCATCCAAGTTCTCTCTTTTCACGAATTTCATTTTGAGAGTGTTATTTTTAGAAATGTGAGGTAAACCTATCAAATAACTTTTGTCACTTTTTACGATAACTCTTGCACCATTATTGTAAATATCAGAAATTTCTGATGGCGACAATTCAGAGTAGAAACCGACTTGGCCTAATCTTGCAGCGTTATCACAGAGATCAGCTTCGAAAGGCGGATTTGACCAAATCAAATCAACACCTCCGTAAATGTTTTCCAAGTTAAAAACAGATTCAGAATGTTTTTGACCGTTAAAATAAAAATTAATCATATTATTTTTGAAGACAAATGCGCAATGGCACCAATGCAACAAATCAAATTTTTGGTCAATAACGAATTTTGATTTTTTGAACTCAACTCTCATTATTTGACCAGAAACACTAATTTCTATTTTATCAGCAGACATATCTGTCATTGTCAAAATTCTGAAATCCATATTTCCTTTGTCTTCGATGTACAACCAGAAAGCAACAGTAAATCCATCAGTTATCATCTTGTTATCGAATCCAAAACATGATGAGATTGTCTTGTAAGTAACAGGAACATAAGCACCAGGTTCAAATGAATATTTATTGACAAGATTTTCAAAAAAAGTGAAAATTGTGTCAAAATAAGGAGCTCTAAATTTTCCTTCTTTCGGACATAGTGTTGAAATAAACTTATAAACAAATGCTGATGAACAACCACCTGATGTAATGAGTTCTATTGTATTTAATATCATTATTACATCTTCTTTCGTATGTGAATTATTATCAATCCAATTTAAAAGTGTATCAACTAATTCGATGTCAAATTTTGAATCTCTACATTCTAATCTTTTGATTTGGCTCTCGAACAGGTTCTTTTGAAGGATATCTAGGAACAAACTAACATTTCCTGTGCTAAATATCTTTAACATCGTATGAAGAAACTTCGGATTTCTGAAATTAAAAATTAAATTATTTTTCCCAATTTTTTCGGAAGCAACAAATGAAAACAAAGTTATACAGAGGTCATCATCATAGTTTTGGAACTTTTCTGTGACAATTTCATAGATTTCGTTTCTTAATTGTTTTTTAATTTTTCCGTCAACAGAATTTCTTATTATATCCAAAGATTTCAAGATATATTGATTGGAATATTGTGATAAAGGTATTTCTTTGATCCATTTGATCAACAAATGAATATGCAAACAATATAAATTCTTTTTGTCGGTTTGTTCGAGTTTAAACCAGAAATCCAGGATATCTATGACCATTCTGTTCATTGGAAGCTGTGGAGAGACCGAAAAGAAACAGGCGAAAAGCTCATTTATGCATAAACTGACCATTGAGTTGTCTTTGTACATAAACAAGTATTTAAGGGCGAACCATCGAACAGGGTCTTCATAAACAAGGGCTCTGAAGTTTGTAACGAATTCTAAATCCGAAATTAATTCTTCATATCCGGGTTTCGACAAATACTCGTTAATTGCGAACAATAATGATGCCCTTGCAATATTTACACGACGAAGCTGCTCAATATTGAGATCTTCAACGTTTTGGTACAAATAATATAATCGCAAAATTTTATTTGCGAAAGATCTTGGTATTTTGTGGAAATTCTTCTCGGACATCAACGTATAAATGAATTCCGCGAAACAAAGAGGGTGCGGAACCAAAATTAGCAAAGTTGAGTACAATAATTCCAAATAATTGGGGAGTTCGAGGTAGAAATCAATGACATTTTGTCTAATTACGTTGACCTGTTGTGATAATTCCGAGTTGTAGAAGATTGAAACGCGATCATCAAATATCGGGGAAAGAAATAGAGAAGTAATGGACGGAGCGTAGTCTATTTCGAGTTTTGTAGTTTCTATAAGTATTACGAAGGCCGCAAGTGTATCGTAGTACTTGTAAGGACGATTTGATCCACAAATTCTGTTAACCCAAGCTGCCATGAAGTTTTTGGATATAACAGGATCAGCAATGACCAGTTCTGAGATCATTAGTAGCCTTTCTCCGAAGTCTTGGTATATAATATCGATACATTTTTTATTTGTCAATAAATTTGAAGGAAACTCCGGTAATGTCATTTCGCTTTCAAAAGTGAGATGGGAAACCCACTCAAGTTTTGTAAAACTCTCTGTTGCAGGGACATTTGCAATTATATCTGGAAGAGGAGGCGGAATTTCCATTTTTTCGGTGCTGGAGTTGAACAACTGATCGATATTATCCGAAAACTTCTCAAGAGATTCCATGAGAGCCATTGTGTTCAGAGATTCGCTAAATCTCAGATGAAAACTTAAACTTGATTTATCTAGGAAAAGAAGGGACTTTTCAATGAGTAATTGGATGCTAAGGATAATAGAACCCGGGAAATTTGGATTGGACTCAATCATACTTGCAATACCTGAGAGATATTCAGCAGCTTGAATATTTAATTTTGTATCTGAAGGAGATATCAAAATTGCAGCAAGTTTGATAATAAGATCATATGAACTCTCTGTAAGATCGGTGTTTGCGATGTAAAAGTCACGAATTGGAGAAATTAATTTTGTAAAATCAGAAGTAGGCGATTCGTTGGCGAAATGCGTGAAAGCATGGTAAAATGCTGATGATGCTAAGTGTTTTGCATGTGAAATAATGTGTTCATTCTTGGATTCAATGAGAAAATTTAAGGCATCAAGTAAAATATAGAATTCTGTAATATACTTGCCTTCCAAAAACCCAATAGACCATGCTATATATGAATTTAGAAAGTACGAAATAACAAAATCTGGTGCAATAACTTCTATATCAGAATATTTCATCATCTGCTGTAGTATTTCTGGCTTAAATACAAATGGATAATCTAAATTCTTAATTGCAGCAACGCCTGACCCGATTGTACTGAATCCTTTTGAAAACTGAGAGATTTCAGATTCTGAAATACTTGGGAAAGTGTTTGATTGAACCAATACCTGTAACTCAGGTATATCTACAACATTTCCATTATCTAATGATAAAATTTTGCTCCATAAATGGTTCTCTGCAAGCAATTCTACCATGAATGATAATCAGAATTGATGTAAATCAAAGAATTGAGTTAGAAAACTTCTTTTCAATTTTGAATAAAATTGTAAACATTCTCACATTAATTGGATTATAATGATTATCATTTTTCAGAAATTTTCGGGATCCACCATCTGACAAATTGACAGAACCAATCCAAAAGCGAAAAAATAGATGAGGATCATATTTAGTGCCTATCTTAGTTTTACACAATGACTCGACCAAGCGATACCTATCGTCCTGAATATCGGTAGAGGGGAAAAAATGTAAAATCGAACGTAAACAAAAGTTTAATTAGTTTTTCTTAGGCAAACATTTAACAGGTTTTATGTTGTTATCTGCAACTTCTTCAATATCTTTTCATAAAAAAAAATCATCTTCATTTAATTGTAATACATAAAACTTTAAACTGTCTGTGTTAAAAGAGATTCTGTTAATGTCTCTTTCTTTCTCCAAACAGATTTCTTTGTAAATACAACAACAATGATAACAATTATAACTATTAATAATATTGCTCCTCCAACTGCTGATGAAGTGATTACTACTACTCTGCGTTTAGAATTTGCTGGTTTTTCTGTTGGAGTTTGTGGCTTAGGCTCTTCAGTTGGATTTGGTGTTGGTTTCTCTGTTGGATTTGGAGTTGGTTTCTCAGTTGGGAGAGGAGAAGGAGCTGGTGTAGGAGCAGGTGTTGGAACGTATGGTGAATGGCAAAGTGATGTTACTTTTGCAGTGATTCCTCCGATTTTTTCATGTTTGTAGTAATCACCGACAGAAGCAACGAAACCTTCTGTTCCAGCGTACTTGTATAAGAAATCACCCTTGACTTCATCATTTCCACAATAAATAAACTCTCTTAATGCTTCGACTTCATCGCCAAGGAAGTAATCTGATGCATTAATAATGTTATTAAGGAAAGTGATACTGCGTAATTTAGGACAGTAAGCGAATGGGAATTCTTCAATTGAGTTGATAACTCCATTGAAAACAATTGTTTCCAACTCTGGCATGTTCAAGAAAGCTTCACCAACAATTTTAGAAACATTTTCTGGAATGATCAAGTTCTGGATTGAAGACTGAGTGAATGCTTGTTTGTTAATTCTCTTAAGAGACTTTGGTAATGTGATACTCTTAAGTGCAGTGCATTGTTGGAAGCATCCGGCTCCAATTGATGTGATCATATCATTTAATGTGACTTCATAAAGTGATGTGCATCCACTGAACAAATAGTTAGATAATCTTCTGATTGCAGATGGAATACTGACTCTCTCTAATGAAGTGCATCCACCGAAAACTGATAATCCTAATCTACTAACATTCTCTAAGTTGATTTCCTTGAGAGATGTGCAGCCTCTGAATGAATAATGAGAAAGTGACTGCAATGAACTTGGAAGTTTAACTTCAACTAATTTTGTGCAATCTGCAAATGAGCTGTTTCCAATTGTTGTGATTCCTTCGTTAAGAACTAAATTGACTAAGTTTTCAGACTTGATAGCGAAGTATTCTGGAATTTATTTGAATTTGCCTGGAACTTTGATTGTTTGGATCAAAGATGATGCAAATGCATCTTTTTCAATTGTTGTAACTGACTCTGGAATGGAAACTTCTGAAATTGTTGCACCAGAGAATGCGTACTGCATGATTGTTGTCAACTCTTGTTCGTACTTGAATTCTCCTGTGTATGTTGGAATGAACCAGCAGAGTGAAGTCTTGTCTTTGCTGTAAACAGCTCCACAGGCACCATTGACGTAATATTGATTGCTTGCGTCAACTTTGATCTCAGAAATAGTGCTGATATCTGAGAATGCTGTGGAATCAATTGATGTAACACTTGCTGCAATGGTAATTGACTTCAAAGCTGTGTTTGTAAAAGCTAATTTTCCGATCTTAGTAAGTTTAGATCCGAAATCAAATGATGTAAGGTTAACACAGTCTTTGAATGCAAAGTCAGCAATGTATTCAACATTTGATCCACTGGAAAAGTTAACGGTTGTTAATTGGGAACAAGATGAGAAGGCGTTCGGACCAATCATCCTCACTGATGGTGGTATTATAATTGTGGTAATTGCTGACTTTGAGAATGCTTTTGTCGAGATAACTTCTACTCCATCTGGAATTGTGAAACCTCTCAATAAATCACAATCTTTGAATGCGCCCTCTCTTATCTCTTTAACATTGGAGATTCCATTGACGTACTGGAGGGATTCGCAGTCTAAGAAGACATATTCATCTAAGATTGTCAAACCTGCACCGAAAGTGATGTTTGTTAAGCGCTCGCATGAAGCAAAAGCATCTGCTTTGACAGTTTCAACGTTTGGAAACTCGAGATCTGTAAATCCCTTGCAATTGAAGAAGGAAAACTTACCAATAGATCTAATTGTAAGTGGAATTGAGGCATTAACAATAGCCTCACAGTTGTAGAAAGCGTGGTCGTCAATTATTGTGGTGAGAGGCGGTAAGAATAATTCGACTAAATGTTTGCAGCTAAAGAAGCACTTATAACCTATCTGAACGACTCCTGTTGGATCTGTTGCATTCGGATGTTCAAAGACATCAAATCTTTGGAGTGCTTCATCTGAATCAAAACAGTATTTACCGTAGTAATATGTTGTTTTTGTGGATAAGAAAGTGACTAATGAGTAGCCAAATCTGAAAGCACTGTCACCAACGAATTCGCATGTTGGTGGGTTGGTGAAATTGACTAACTTATTACAGTGGAAGAAAGAACCGTTTCCAATTCTAACAATTGGAGCGGTAACATCAACAGTAACAAGTGATGTTGAACTATTGAAGGCATAGTCTCCGATTTCGGAAACATTGCCTTGAATGATAACTTTTTCACAACCTGAAGGAATGTTTTTCTGAACATCATTTTGCTCAATGATGCCATCTCCATCAATGATCAATGTTCTGTCATTAACAGTGTATGTTGGAACTGATCCTACAATGGATAAAAGAATAAATAGCATTCACTGTAATTAAATTTTCAGATCCACAAAAAATAATTATTCGCATAATCCTTAAATATTTATGTCGCTGATAAAATCATTTTTGTATAACATTTGAATGCATTGAAAATTTGAAATAAAAGTGACAAATTAGGTACAATGATATATTTAATCCTTTATAATTCGTTAGCGACAATATGGGTGAAAATAATTGTCATTCAATCTAAAAAAAACAAATATGGTTGAAAATTCATATAAAACAAAGTAGTCAGCACTGTTCTTAGAGAAATACAACTTTCCTAAGATTGCTGAGGTCATTTAGATCAGTCCCCAATTTCTGAGCTATGTGATTAATAAATTCCTGATAGTATTTCTGACTACTTAACACTTTGATTTTATCATCTTTAATCTTAAGATCAAAATCTGGAGGAGTGAATGTATCTTCATCAGTGTCTGAATCCCAATCTTCTGAACTATCTTCTTTATTCAATTCCGTTTTAATTTGAGGTTTAATTTCAAGTTTGGAATTATTTGGTTGTTTATTTTGATCTAATGGCACTGGAGCTGGTGGATCTTTTTTCTTGATAAGATCTTCCAGTTTAGGAGCAACTGATTCTTTATTTTCTTCAGTTGTGGTTGTTTGAGAATTTGAAGCAGCTGGATTTTCGAAATTTTCTGAAAAAAGATCACCAAGGTCAGCTAAATTATTTTCTTGGCTATTTTCTTGTACCTCTTTCGTTTCCTCGACAGGTGTTTCTGTAATTTCTGATTTTGTCGGAGGAATTGTCTCTGGTTTAGGACCTTCAGCCTCAGTATTGATAATTAATGGAGTTTCTTTCTTTTCTTCTTCTGGTTTTTCTATTTCAACAGGTTTTGATTGTTGATTATTTTCTGATTTTTGAGCAACTTCTTCAGATGTATTAGGCTGGATGACTTTATCAGTGGGTTGTTCTTGTTTTGGTGAATCTACTTCAGTTTTCGGATTTATTGCAATATTTATTAAATTTTGCTGCTCTTGGGTACTAGATTTTTCTATTAATGGATTTGCAGTATTCTTAGAAATCTGTACTTGGTGTGATGGTTTCTCTATTTTTGGTTTATATGGTTCTATATTGTTTCCTTCTGTTTTATTGGCATCACTATTAGAATTATCAATGGAACTTTGATTTGGTAATTTATATGGTGGTGGAGGATCAAATTTCATTGGAGTGAAAGGCGTTATTTTTTGCATCTCTTTTATTTCTTGAAGATCTTTTATTGTAATATTCGATTTGCAAACTTTATTGATTATCTCAGCTAATCTGGCTAGTGGCTTTGATTCATCATTCGAAATTAAAATAACATAATTTTCGTATTGACTTGGTTTGAAAGTAACTTGATCACGAATCAACATATAGTTAATTTGACGCGTCATCCCTGTTCCAAGTAGCATTGTTTCGATCTCATTATTGCTAATTACGTGAATTTGCTTTTCCATGAAGTGATTATTATTAATCCTTCCGTGTAAACTTAAAATTTCTCTGAATTTTTGTGATAATACGGAATGAAAATTTTGTTCTAGTTGTTGTGCATGAAAAATAGCGTGACTTCACTTTTGACAAAAAGTGACATTATTTATGATGGTTTTGTCATTTATTTGTCAGATTTATAAATGGATAATAATGCTGTAAATCAGATATTAATTAAAAATATTTACGATTTATGTTCGAATTGAAAAGCAAAATGATATTTTTTTTAATTGAAAAACGTTAATATCTGATATTTTGAAGTTTTTAATATTTGTTAGTATCTTAAATTATTGAATGCATACGTTTTTTATGTTCTCAATTTTAAAAAAATTGTGAAGAATTTAGTTTTTTGGAGATGGGTGTTTAATATTTGTGAGTGAGAATGCAAGCAGGAGTTTGGTACTTTAAGGCTAGGTTGAGATAGATTTCCCATTATATTATCTGTGAATATATTGTTTGAAAATTCAAGATATAAAAATATATTATCAAAAAATTTTATATTTTTAAATACAATAGGGTGGAAATATAGTACGATGAGATAGCAATGATATATTTTATAATGGGAGGTAATCTGAAGATAAGTAGCAAATTTTATGCGATTTTGATTGGGAGTTGGAGGGTGTGAGTACTATAGCATGTAATAGTATCTCACACCCTCCAATTCTTCCTATGGCGCCGAAAAATTTTTGGTGAAATGTCGTCGCATTTCACCAAAAATTTTCGGCGCCATATAGAGAATTATAGTCTGCGAGGTACTGATTCTATCTATGTACCTCGCAGACCATAGTTCTCAGCCAAAATGGCTAATAATTTGAGAGTCTATATGATAATGTAAAAGTTAAAACATTCAAGTATTTAAGTATTTCTTTAAAATATTAAGTTTTTTATTTTTCCAATAAAATTCTAATATCAAATATTTTTATTTAACGATTAATTTTATTTATATTTTTATAGTTTTTTTAAGGATACCCTTACATTGCGTAGTTAGAAAGAGAATATGATATTGTCATGATTGCTAAAGTTTTAGGCTCCAGAAATGAATATACATCAAACTGAAACAATTGATAAATTGAATGAACTTTTGAGAGGTTCTCAAATAAAAAAAATTATCTAATTTTTTACAATATTACTATTATTTTATCCACATATGTATATATAGTAATTTGAGAAAACTTTTAGGAAAAAATAAGTTTAATAAAAATCTGAATTTTACTTGTTGTGGGATTGTTATTAATTGACACTCCAGACGTATTACTAATAGTTATGCGTATGCAATTAAAGTATTTCTGATGGACACAATGTGAGATTTATATCAGATAATTCATTTCTACTATTAAGTTATTCATTTATGAGTTTGCACTTATTCGCACTAAATAAATAACTATTAAAAATTGTTTTAATTAATTGACACCATATAATAGAGTGAATTTTGTTTGATCAAACAACAATAGATGATAGATATAAAGCCAAGAAACTTGCTATTAATATGCTCTACTTGCTATTTCAATGTAAGTATGATATTTTCTAAATGTTTCGTTCAGATAACTTAGATATATTAGTCAAAATTTGAAATTTTAATAGCACATATATTAAAAATAATTATTATTCATAAAAGATTAATGAAATAGTAAAAAAAATCAATCAAATTATAAAAATACAACATTTAGAAGAATTCTTATTATCCTTCAAAAAGTCAGTATTTCTGCTGTAATTTTCTACAACATTGTAGTTATTGCACTTTGTCTATGGACTTGTATATATGTTATATATAAATTATATATCTAAACTGCCCATAAGTGCAATTTTTATATAAATTGTTTATTTCTTTAACAATTTCATATAAAATATGCTTTTTTAAGCGTATCAAAGCTGTGTTCTTAATGTGCATGGATATATCAAGAAAAATGTCGAAAAAAAATGTGAATTCACAAATTCACTGAATTTTCACCGTTTTTTGAATTTTGCTACAGCACTAATATTAAATAATACTAAAATCTTCTGTCTTTGTAAAAGAATAAATTCTGACAAAAAGTGCTCGTTTAAATTTCATGATCATCTGTATGACTAAGTGGTAAAAAGTGTTTATGACCAAAAAAGGGTTACATGCTTAGTCTATTTTTCTGACAGGATACTGTAGATTTACATGATCTCTATTTCATATCTCCGTTTTTAGATTCTTCGACAGATTTTATGATAGAAAACCAAGATTAACAAATTTCCGGCATGTTAATGAAGAAATCTGCAGCTACCCTCAATATTATTTCAATAATCAGTATCGTTTCTCTTACAATTTATTTTTTTCTCAATAATTTAACAAGAAATAACAATACACACTTGGTTTTACGTATAAAAGCTAAGTGTCGAACTTAATCAACTTTACTTACTTAGCAAATGAATATTTTTGTGGTTGCGAGTTCTGAATGCTGAAGTTTTAGATTTCTCTATAAATGATATCATTGCACTTACAATGTTGTTCCAGCCTATCGCATAAATCATAGAAAATCCAAAAAAAAAAAATAATATAAAGAAAATTCATGTCATGAAGTTCAAAAAATACCGTGTAACATTAAAATTTGTTATGCATAATACATTTTAGCTATTATTGATTTTTTTTAATTTTCGAGAAATTGAACGGTGAGTCCGATAGAGAAATTTTTAAAAATCCTAGTGCCTCATAGAAGTAATTTCCCTCGTCTCCCATACTTCCAAATGTATGCATATGACATAAACTTTTATGCATTACACAAATGGCCAATAATATCTATAGAGTAAAAAATTAGAAATTTAATTTTTTTATATGATAGTTATATTTCAGATTTGCGAGCGTAACTTTTTTCTCCATGGCATACTTGTTTTAAGAGCAAATGATCAAAATCGTCTTTCAATTATTGAAGGAGCTGATATCTTTTGAAAATTGAATTGAAAGGGTATTCAATTTTCAAATTTCCTCTCAATTTTGGAAACATATCAACTCTATGAATTAACAATTATGTGCCTTCACAGTTTATCAGTCATATAAGGTGCTTATAAAGAAAAAAGTTACGCTCGCAAAATATGTTTTTATATAGATTTCACATAAAATAATTATGTAATTTCTAAAAAGAATATTTTTGTTCTTGAATATTAAAATGTATTGTAGTTTAAAAAGTTTTAAATATGTTGCTAAAATTTCAGGTTTATAGCTCATGTCTAGCATGACTTCTTCGTATGCGCAAAAAATCTGACACGTAAGGGTATCCTTAAGAAAAAATATTGTTAGGGTTTTATGGATTTTCAATTAATATACAAGATAATTCATGAATGTATATATTTCCAAGTTTTTAAGGACGCAACACTTTACATTTGTAAACTGTCAAAAATGAAGTCACGCTATTTTTCATGCATTACAAATTTTGTTCTAGTCAAAAAGGAAATAAAAAAAAGATAATCAATTAATAATAAAAAACACATATATATCAATATTTATAAAAAAAATCAAATTGCACCAGCACTAAGAAGTACTTTGCGAATTGATTCCGATTTTGCCATCGAAAGTGGGGTACTTCCGAATTTATTTTGGAAGTTTACATTGATTCCTTTGCATTTCAAGAGGGCTTCAACCAAATGGAGATTATCCTGCTGAACAGCAAGATGAAGTGGTGTGAAGAGAAGAGATCCGTGGCAGTTTGGTTCGATCTTAACAATTTCGTTAATATCTGTAACAAAGAAGTGCTTTCCGTTATCAACAGCAACTCTTAATGGAGTATTTCCTGAGATATCAAGTGCATTAACGTCAACATCATCAAAACCAGCTAAAATCTGGAAAACTGTGGAGTTTCCATTTCTTGCAGCTGTATGTAATGTTGTTTCTGAGATGATATCTGTATTTTTAACATCATATCCTTCATTAATGAAACTCATTAATGCGTAGATGTTGTTTGTTTCGATAGAATTCCTGTATGACTCCTTAAGACGCTTTTCGATATCCCAATTGTTGTTTTCTTCAATAACCCAATTGAAAAGTGCGTTCTGGCGATAAAGAACTGACATTGGGAGGACATTTTCGAAGGAGCACTTGTAGGAATAAAGTATTCTGACGATTTCAATGCATCCGCCTGCAACAGCGTAACTCATTGTAAATGGAGTTTCAGCACCAAGCTGGAAGATGGATCTGAAGGATTGAACAGAGCCATAGAATGCTGCAACATTGATGATTGGTGCTCCAACAAGTTCTGGATGAGTTTCAAATGGATTGAATGGAACTGTCATCTTTGGATTAAAATGTGGAGGAAGGAAGTGGCAGAATCTATCGAAATCATCATACTTAAGATAATAGAAGCATGAATCCTTTGAGTATCCATTCTCTAATACTTCTCTAAGTGTCTCGAAATCGTTGTACTTGTAATTGTACATGTTTTCAACGATCTCTTTAAGAGATTCATGGACGTATGTATAGTCATCAGCAGGAATAACTGTTTCTGGAAGGATATTGTAAAGTTCTGGATAAAAGTAAATAGAAAGAAGGAATTTCTGGTTTCTCAGCTTCGATGGAAATTCCTCGATCTCGTTGCTAATATCCTGGGCGGAGAAGAAGCCTTCGTTGAAGAGGGCACGGAGAAATCTGAAATCAGAAGATTTCTTGTACCAAGAGTACTGATCATCTTTGATGGGATCCAATGCAATGTTCAAGCAAAGATCCTTAACTGGGATGATCTTGTCAGAATCAATGAACTTGTCATTGATGTAAACAACCAATTTGGCCAAGGTGTTGTACATGTCGATTCTAATCATGGCGATATAGAATATCTCCTTGATGAGTTCATAAACCTTGGACTCAGAGCTGAAGAAGTTGAGTTTTTGGAGTAAATTGTAAGTGTCATCTACATCCTTCTCGGTCATTGAAGCTATCTTTTCTTGCATTTCTTGATATGCCTCAGCAAGTTCTTGGGAATGATTAGGTATGACCATTCTGTCTTTCTGTCTGCAATTAATGCAAAATGAAAATTGAATAGTGTTTGTGTGCGCCTTCAATTGAATCAGCCAAAGATCAATAATTCTGGATATTTCGGATTGTACCGTTATGTGGTGCTATTCTAATTTCAAGGCGGAAACGATGATATTGAAAATTGATATCATTGAAATAAAATTTGAAACGATTTGGGAGAAGTGGTTTCACACTGTTATGATTAATGGAAATTTCATGGTTTTAGTGTTGGACAACAGGTCTCAAAAAGTGGGATAATTTAAATGCCGTTCAAATTTTTTTTGAGAAACTAGTATAAGGTACTTCTCCCCATTATGTTAAAGCTATATTTAACTTCAATATGAATCAGCACAATATTCAAAAGAAATTTGACATGAACTTATATATTAAAAAATATTATTTAGTATCCAAAAATAGGACCACAAAAAATTCGATAAATATGTTTTTGAAAGAAACCGCTTTTCATAGTTTTCACCAAAATTGTGAAGGCTCTCAAATCGAAAATTAAAAATATTGCTAATAGAATTGTTTCCTATTAAATATATTTGACAATACTTTTTTTACATCAGCTATCAAATCATAATTCATCGTTTTCTCGTATGAACTTCTTTTTGGTCGCTGATTGCGGCGATCATCATTACTTAATATAAGCAGTATTAAGGTAATGATTGTTGATGTTGGAGAAATTTATAAAAAAAAACTTCAATTTGAAATCACTAACGTTAATGTATCCAAAGTTTATTGGAAGGAAAGCTTTTATTGTCAGTAAATGATATTTTCGATGTTATCCTCGATAAAATTACTGTCAAACTCAAATTTCTTATGAAATGAATTTACTTCCAAACAAAAACATAATTTAAATTATTTCCCGTAATCATTACAGCATATATAACCCGATTTCCTAACGGCAAGTGAACTCTCCAAAAATCGAATAAAAATTTAAAATTAATATGAAATATTAAAAGAAAAACTCGAAAATTTAAGTAAAAACTTACAACCATGGAGTTCCAATCTATTTCGTTAGCTCCGATTACATTTTTTCTTAATTTTTGTGCTAAAATTGAAAAATCGCAAATATTTATTTGAAGTTGAGTCATAGATACTGAAAATTACATAGCTTTGTTACTAATTACTTCCTTAATTTCTTTTCGTTAGAAGTTTTCGACCTTATTATTTTTTATTGTCTTTTTCATATTGACTATAAGCTTCATTTCTTAAGTTATTTCGCTTTTATTTTCTGTGTTTAAGCATGTGATAAGTAATTGAAATGAAAAGCATAAAAAAGAATTAAATTTCGAAATTTTTCTTTTAATAATAAATATTATAATAATGGTGAAAATCATGGTTCAAGGTAATGATAAAAATAAGATAAAATTAACAAATATTACATAAAAATAAACCTATATATAATTATGAAAGAAATATATATATATGACTAGAGCCATGGGTACCAGCCTCTGAACATTCTTGCCAAATTCCTTTCATCAGTAGCGGCCTCCACGAGCGAAGCGACCTGTTGTTTGACACCTCTTGCGTCATTAATTTTCTCTTTAATTCTCTTCATTGTTTCTATTTCAGGTCTTTCTCCTGCGTCGCTTCTTGCCATGAGCCACTGGAGCAAAGGATCATAAATGAATGCTTCGAGGAGTGCCATGATCTGGACGCCGTTCTCGCGCATGATTGTTAACATTGTTTCACACGCTTTCGTGAACTCTCCGTCCAAACCATTGACACCTAACGCGTTAACCAAAGAACGAGTTAATCTAAATGGAACTCTTTCTTGGAACTTTTCTCTTCTCATGGCGACTTCGAAACAGTCTCCGAAATCGATGTGAACAAGCTTAGCTGTTGTATCATGCAGCATGATGTTCGCTGGATGTCTGTCTCCCAATCCGAGGATGAATCCAGCCATTGATGTTGAAGCTAAACTCTCTGTGAAAAGAGCTCTTCTCTTCAACCAATGGCTTGAATCCGATGACATAATGAACAAAGCGTCTTTAAGTTCATTTCCTGGTGTTATTGATACACCAATATGGAACAATCTGACCAATTCATCGTCATCCATTGTTGCGCTTAATTTATCGAAATCTGGGCACTCTTTAACAATGGCTTCGTATTCAGCCAATGATGGAACTCCACGTGGTTCTCTGTACTGGGAAATAACTAATGAAAGAGTCTGGCAGTTGTTGACCCATCCGATCAAACCAACTTTGTTTGTGATTGGAATTACTTTGTATAGAATAATTCTGAGTCTTCTTGGTCTGTCAGGAGCTCTCTCGATCGCGGAGTTGATGAAATCAAAGAGTTGCATGATTCTTTTATCCAATCTCGTGTCTTCGTTCGCTTTCAGAAGGAAATCAATCGAATTTCCTTCGTTTGTTCTCAATGTGACTCTGCGAGGTCTCTGCTTCGATTCAACGACAATCAATTGTTTGTCAACACTGTGAATTGTCTGATCGAAGTGACCTGGAACAACAGTGTCAGATCCTTTCAATTGAGATAAAAGTGGCGAAACTTCGTTCAATGGGATGTTCTTAACTCTTTGAACGATGAGTCTGACTTTCTTCAGAACAGGGACATAAATGGACCATGCTCTGTTGTAAGCGTCCTCATCGTGGTCATTCAAAAACGCGTCAAGAAGTGAATGTGCCTGGAGTAAAACACTTCCGAACTGTGCAGCGAAAGAAACTTCAAACATTGTTTCTGGTGGTTTTTCAATGACAGCGTGAAGAGGCAACAAAATATTGGCTGCTTTCACGTGATCATACATCTTTGATGTTTCTTCGAGAGCTTGTGTCCAAATCTCGAACCAGCTCGTTCCAATTCTGATCAATTCGTAAGTTAAATTCAAAATTCCGCTGACAACTGTTGGATAACTTTGTCTGAGATTTGAAATTAACTCTGATGATTGCTGTTGTTTCTCTGTTTCCTTTGATCTGTATTGGACAATCAATGCGTAAAGAGCTTGGTTTGGATATTCCTTTCCTATTCTTGTGACCAAATCTTCCATGATCTGTCTCAATCCGCCACTTGCACCTAATCTTGCAATGATTTGTGAAAGCAAATCGATCCAGCAACTTGTTGGAATTCTTGGAATGAATTTGCGGAAAGAATTCAACACTTTAGGATGTCCTCTTTGGAACAACAATGTTGCGATGTGTTGAATGTATTGGCTTGCTTGTACAGGAGCTAATCTGAATGCTGTTAAGTTTGCTTCGATTGCTCTTTCCAAGTAAGATTCGTTGTCTCTCTGTCCTTCGAATAATTGGAAACAAACTTTCGCATACAACAACAATGTGTTCGAATCGTCTTTGAAAGGAATTGTTGATCTCTTCAATATCTCTTCTGCTTGTATCAAATCGTTGTCTTCCAAATACCATTGGCCGAGTTTTCTCTGCCATTTGTCTGTCAATGGAGAGTTTGGACTCAAATTAATCAACTGATGCAATGTCTGGCAACTCTTTGGATGGTTTCCTTCGTATCTGATGACTTCGGCCATTGTGTACTTAAGTTCTGTATCATTTTGGTTGATGATGTGTCCTAAAGCCAAATTCCTGATTTGCGCGTTTTTGTCGTTAGCCGTGTAATGGATGAATTTGACCCAGAATGGCTGCATCTGTTCTGGACCGAGAATGAAACTCTCTACTCTCAACATTTCGAGCATGTGGAGTGGAGAATCATGTAACTGCTCGAACTTAAACATCCAAGATTTTGTGATGGAATTTTCATAGGAAGGATCAATGAAATTATGAGCTCTGTTTATCAAAATCTTCGTGACATTGAAGAGTTCTGTTAATATACAGTAATCAGCGAAATGATTATATGCTCTTTCGTAATCATTTGCAATAAGTGAAGTGATCTTTGGAGCTTTTTGAGTCAACATCATTTCAATTAATTTCTGAGCTCCCAAATAATCCTGATCTAAAACAGCTTTGAACGCGTAATAGAATGATGTTGAATCATTCGGAGGATCGAGTTTAGAAACAGCTTTCTTGAGAGCTTCATCATTGAACATGTGTAAAGCAGCAACAGCTTTGTAGAACTCGTTGTCCGTCTTCTGAGCGATGACTTCCAAATCTTGGAATCTGTTCAATCCTGTCAAACACTTCATTTGTCCTTCGATGATGTCCTGGCCTGTTTCGCCTTGTTCAATTCTCCTTTCGTAACTGGCCAACGCGTCTTCCCAGAATCCTAAGTGTATTGCAACGTTGTCGTGTAGTTCTGGAGCGTTGAATTTGCGTAAGGCGGCGTTTGCAGCGAATGGAAATCCAAGCATTTGGTAGAGAAGAACTAAATTCTCAACGTTATCTGTTGGATTTTTCTCGTAAAGTGTTTCTGCGTATCTCAACGCTTGTTGTAACAATCCTGCCTTCATTGCTCTGTTTGCGAGGATTGTCATATCGAGATCTACCTTGAAATTGGCAATATCAAGAAGATCTACTGAGTTTAGAGCGTTTTTGAGGATGTAATCTGGAACATCTTTGGACATTATGATGTTGTGAAGGGCTTGTTGGAGATCTGGATCGTTACTTGTGGCTATTGATGCTGCAAATGAGATTGGGAAGAGCTGGGATCTAACATTTGCGTTGTGTTCGCTCAATGTGCCACATGCTGAAGAAGATCTGAGCGGAGAAGACAAAATAATGGCTTGAACGACTTCATCTGCCCAGTGGGACCATTCAGCTGCATCCCATTCTGTCTTTGGCAATCTGAAATTCGATGGTTTAATGTAAACAAAGCGTTCAAGGGCTGCTGCTGAGGAACAACGAGAGATCTTGGCTTCTCTTGTTGTTGACTTGTAGGATTCTGTGATGAACTGTGGGAGTTCAACGCCAGAAGTGATTGATCTCATAATAATATCCATATTCGAGTTGTTTGAGAGGTTAAATACAGGAACAATTTCAGGAAGGAATAAAATGAATTCGTTCCTTTGTCTTGCGGCCAAAAGAATTAAGACATCAATTGATTTCGTCTGCAATGACTTATTTTGGGTGCAAACGATAATCAATGTTCTGATAACTTCGGATACATACCTTTCTGTTCCTACTTCGTTCAGAATTGTTAATAATTTCTGAATAACTTGTTCACTGAGGAAAGTATCAGCGAAATTGACTTCCAGCCAGTTGAGAAGTGAAGGAACTAATATGTAGTCAACTTCTTTCATCATGGAGCCCATTGAGATGTAAATAGAAAATACATCATCAGCTGCCTTCGCCGGCAACAGTGGCAATGAGCTCAAAATGACATTTGTAATACGTACTAAGTATGGACTTAATAGTTCAGAAATTCTGAATGCCATCCATTGTAAAGCTCTCAAAATCAAACCGCTTTCCAATCTTCCCCAGTTTGTACAGATCAAATCTATGAGAGGAGGAATGATTGGTGCGAACTTATTGCCAAGAATGGTGATAAAAACTGAAAGGTTATGCAAAATAATTGATACTGTCGCTGAATTATCTGCTTCTAAGATCATTGACCTGAGAACATTGGCCAAATAGTCTTCGAACTGCGGATTCAGTATTCTATGGCTCTTAAGAACGAGCAACAATGAATCAATCGCCTTAGGATGTAAAGCAACAAGCGATGAATCAGTTAAAACGTTCAAAACGATGCCAAAACTTGTATTTGCAGACAAAGCAGACAGTACTGGCATTGATGCAACAGCAGATGTCGGATAAGGTACTGGTTGGCTTGGCAAATTTTGAGTTGTTTCGATCGACCAAGTCAACATCTCATGTTTACCGATAATTGCGATTTCTGTTAACGCTTCGAGTAATTTGATACGTGTTTCTTTGTCTTCTACGCCATCTGCGAGTGCCATTAACTTCATAATGACGTTTGAGTACTTAATTCTCATATCATTACGTAACGAAGAGTTTCTGAGTGTTGCAATGAGAAGATCCAACACAGCAGAAAGTCTGTTATTCGTTGAATGCAATGTCAATGATTGAGAAATGTGTTCTACGATGCGCGGAAGAACTGAATCTGTCTCTGTTTTATCCACTAGTTTGGATAGTAACCTCAATGATGACGAGGATTGCTTGGATGACTTAATTACGACATCCATCAAGAAAGATCTGAACGGAATAAGTGATTGTGGAGTGAATTCAGCGGCATTTAAGAGATTGTTAATTGTTCTCTTATCGAGTTTCTCTGAATTCTGAAGGTTTCTCACTAATTCCGAGATAAATGAAGTAATAGCTTCTTCTGTATTGTTGATACTTGAGAGTTTCTGCAAGGCCGTCTTGCGAACAGCGGCATTTGCATCATGAAGAAGTGCAAACAATGGCTGGATGAGTGGAGAATCAACAGGTGTCGCCAAAAGGTTGGAAAGAGTGTAGTTTCTTAGTGCTGGTGAAGGTTCTGCAGCTACGAAAGCAACAATACGTTGTTTGATTTCAGGGAAAATCCTTTGTTGAGATAAGAAGAAATTAATTGTTTGTTCTCTGAGCCTTACGTCATTGCTCTTGAGGGCTTTCGAGTACTGCATCAAAACTTCTGTTTCTACTTCGTCTCTTCTGAACTCAAAACAAGCTAATGTTCTGAATGAATGTTTAAGTTTCGTTGTATTGGTGCAAGTAAGCAAAATCATGTTGAGACTTTGAATAATTAATGCATGGATATCAGGAGAATCCTTTGGATACCTCAAACAGAACTTTCCGAGGCCATTTGCGACTAATTTCGAAAATAAATGGTTGCTGATGGTAGTTTTGAGTTTAATAAACGCTTCAGTCTTCGGAGTAGCAACAGAAAGGAATCCGTAAACTGAATATTTGTCAGAAATTTGTCTTCCCAAAATTCCGGTAAGGCGTTCGATTGGTTTTGAGTATTGGTATCTCGTAGGCATGTCAAACTGGAATAGTAAGTCGCCGAAGTATTTGTACAATGTCCTTGGAAGAGGAGTTGTAGATTCGAATAAAGTGCAATAGATGTCGAGAACAGCGTTAATATGGCGCTGCGTAAATGTAAGTGGCGATGTGTGATACGCTAATGTTATTAAAGCAAATCCTCCGATGGTATCATTTGTCAGAGTATATGAAATTCTGCTGATTGGAGGTTCTTGGAATTGCACAAAACCAAGGATATCGTCATCTCTCCTAAGACAATTTGCGATTGAGACTACATAGCCTTCTTCGAGTGGAATCGTTTTATTCGTAAAAGATTTCATGATTTGCTTCGAAATGAGTATGGATTGATTGACATATTGTGTCTGAGAAATGCTAAGGAATGATCCTAAAGCTTGAGAGGCCGCTTTTTGTACAGCTTTGTCCGGTTCATGCAAAGCTCTTAAAAGAAGACTCTGTGTTGCTTGAAAATTCGAGTTTAGGTATGATGGAAATCGGCGGATGAATATATCTAAGAGATTAAGCGATGAAATCTGAGTTTCCGGTTTTTTGACAAAATACCATTTCCAAATCAAATCTCGCAATGGTTGTAGTGTTAAATGCAATGAAGCACCAAGTGGATTTGTTATCCAAACTAAGAGTTGATCTAGAAGCTGCCAAACATGAACATTTGGTGATGGCGTAATTAAGGCAATATCCTTAACGATTTTTGTTGCAAGACCACCTTTAGTTCCTAACTCTATCTCAGATAAGGCATTCATTACGATTAAAAAGACGAGAGTGTTTTCTTGTAATTTACTGAAGCTTAAATTCAAAAATAACTCTTGAATATAAGCACTGCCTTCATTCATTTCTTGCCAATATCTATATTGGCCTGATACAAATGATTGAAATGTTTTAATCGCTGAATAATACGAATATGAGTGTATATTGTCAATATTATCGAATATATTTTTGATATAACGCTCAAGTTTAGTTGCATCCTGGCTTGGGAGACCGTATGTGACTCCGAAAAAAGCTGGTTGCTGCATAAACTTATATTAGAGCGAGATAAAAAAAATTAATAATTTCAATTTTACAAAATTATCGTCGTAATATAAAATTTTATTCAATCATTTTTGAATTTGAATAATTTTAGATGTCACTCATTCTATTTTTGAAAAAGAAATGGCAATTGGCTGAACACTCCATATTTGATAATGATGCTTCTGGATTATCTCAGAAATTAAGCCGAAATTTTTACCGGAGCTGCTTTCTGGCATCGCATTTAGTAACCAAGTCAAGGATACTCTATATAATATAGGATGAGGCAAATATCAATGTGATTGTTTTAAGTTGTGCTCAATAAAAAACTATTTCTTGAGTAACATCATAAAATTGGATTGCTAAACAAACATCATATTTTCTGTACATTTTTTCCTCATCTACCATATTATCATGGCTTTTTATATCTGATAAGATTCCTTACTCAATATATTATTGCCCATTGTCTGCATTGTTATAAGCATGTTGGTCATAGCATTCAGATAATAAAAATATTTAACTATTTCGTATCTAAAGCTCTATAATAAATTTTTAATTTTGAATAAACAACATAATTCTTCAAATTGTGCAAACACTTGAAATTATGATTATTGACAATAAGTTTATTGATGAAAATCAAGTTTCCATAACTTTGAGGTAGGTTATCAGCAAGATGAAGCTCTTTCAAATTCATTATTTGAAATGATTGTTACTCCTATAAAAATAGTTGAAATAAATAAAATCTAAAGAATAGCAACGCAAGAAGAGTAGTAAAATGTAATTTTTGATTAAATCTTTCTTCATTTTAAATAAAGAAATGAATATCAAAGAAAGTTATTACTAAAATTTCTCTGGAATTCTGTCTGCCATCACACGAGAAGCTGATGATTTAGAACGTGCTGATCTTGCTGTTTGTGGTGCTGACATATAAGGTCTTTTCTTTGATAATTGAATTCCAACAACTTGAGTTTCAGCCATTGATTGTTCTCTTGGTGTTGAAACATTAGATAAAGTTGACATTTGGCTTCTGGAAGTGGCTGAAGAAATTGAAACTTTTGGTTGTTTCTCTAGATTTGACACTCTTGCGTTAAGCTTAGAAAGCATTTCTTCAAGTTTTGTAAATGTCCTCTCAGAATACTCTATGTCAACTGTTCTTTTTTCATTATTTGATTGTGTTTCTTGTAATTCAGTAATATCATCTTCGTAAATCTGCATTTTTTGTTTCATTTCAGCAATACTTGTTGATACATTTTCTAAAAGCATCATCATTGTCATGCCATCATACATATTTTTGTTAAATCTCAATGTATCATCATTCAAACCTAAAGTATTTGTAAAGTTTGGTTTTTCACCTTTCTTATGAAGCTTCTTAACACTCACATCCTTAAATGCTTGAGATGGCATCGGAGCATCAGGACTGTTTTTGAATCTAATTCTGTCACTTTCATACAAAGAGCGACGTTCAGCAGCTTCTTCTTTGAGACCAAATAGTTCTAATTGACACTCTGATAGAGATGGTATTGAAGGAAGTATTTTTGATGATAATCGTCCTAAAATTGCTTCAACATGTTCAAAAGCATCCATTGAAACAGAAATAGATGAGTGTACTGCATTAGTTATCCTTGATAGTAATGTATATAGTTCAACAATGTGTTGATCATTATTACTAAAACTGTCTAAGAAGAAATTAACAGAATCTGTTATGCGCTTACTAATTTTTCCATCTGTTAAAGAAAGATCGTGGATATTATGGTTGAATTGAGCTAAATTTTCTTGCATTGAAATTACAGAATCAACAATTTCTTTGCAATCATTACGTGTCGAGCTAATAAGTTCATCAAAACTGTCTAATCTGCGTGAGTCACGGTAAATTCCTCTGATTAAAGGTGAAATATCAACAGTTCCATCAACAATTTGAGGTCTATCTTCCTCTTTTGAGTATGTTGATGGTATTTCTGATGGCCTTTTCTGATAATTGAAAACTGTCGTGCGTAAATCTGCATTTAAGTCATCAAATTTTTTATCGAAAAGATCTAATCTATCTGTAACCCATCGTTCTGTTTCAACAATCATTGATCGATTCTTTCGCGATAATTCTTCAATTGCATTTACTTTTTTATTGACAACTTCATTCTGATTATTCGTTATATTATAAATTCTTGAATCAACTGCAGACATTATCTTTGATTCGAAATCATGAACGCTTTGTTTTAGTGTCGATAAAGTACTATTGACTTTGAGTTGATATTCTGAATTTTTCACAATAAAATCATCAAATCTTTTTGCTTGATCAAAAGTAACTGTTATCAACCTTTTAAGGATAGTTGTTGCATCATCTGGAAGTGATGAATCATAAAGAATTGATTCTAAATATTGCTGATCTTTCTCCATAAAAATAAAAATAAATTGTCAGAAATTTTAAACGAAAAATGCCAAATTTTAACTTTACAAAAATGTCAAAAATATTTTCTCGCAGAGATAATGCTCATTTCCGAAATTGCCTCTGATTTCAATAGATATTGTGGTACCTCTCTCGGAATGTCTATTAGTTTGGCCATTTTTTATAAATTCAGATAAAGAGTCATTAAATCTATGCTCTATAGATATAAATATTTAAAAGAAGATAGTTCCATATGATATAGAATCCAATGTTGCTTTCATGTCAGCTTATTTCAATTGGAAATATTCCGAATGCAAACGTAATCATGAAAAACTTCTGAAAAAGAAAAATAAATTGAAGAAACTCGTAGAACATCTCTCATTGTAGTATATTTTCGAGAACGTAATCCAATCCAATCGATATGTTTCATCGAATTTGAACCCATTTTAGTAAAGGTAAAACATCATTTTCTAAAATTTTAAAGAACAATGTGAAACTTTTATAAAGTTCCATTTGAACGATGCAGGATCGATAAATTTCACTTTCAAAAATTTCAATGATGATTCTGATAATTCAATTTCATGCTGAGAATCTAAAAGGAAAGCATAAATCAAATTTGTTTTTAAATTCAGACTTGTAAAATTTTTGCTACTCAGCATCATAGGCGGTATGAAGTAAAAAAGTGCCTAATTCAGAAGGGATGAGTGAGGATATTCCAAACTTTGAGAAGCCAGTCAACCATACATTCACTGCAGGAGAACAGATCTATGTTATTGATCCAAATGGTTATGATCTTTATGAAGCAGAAATCAAGTCTGTCGGTGAAAATTCGTGGCATGTTCACTACCCAGAATATCCAGAAGATGATTTCACAGCTAAGAACACAAGTCGTTTCCTTCTCAAGACAGATACTAATTTTAAGATCTACAGAGAACAGGAAGATGTCAGACTTGCCAAGACTCTCGAGGAGGAAGAAGAGAGTACTGGCGAACCAGATGATCCAGAAGATGAAGATGCTCACATTGAAGAAGAAGAGTAATTATTATGCTTATATTCAAGTATTAAACGATTATTTTTATATTTAAAAGGATCCTGAGCAAAAGAATTGTTACGGATCTAGAGTACCACAAAATAATATACATCCCCCTACTCATATACCTTCTCAAAGATTGTTGTTTTTGTTCTTTTGATTTTCCATGAGTTTCACAGCGGAACCGATTAGAAGCAATGAATCCTTGAATAGCTTTTTGGCATTCACCTGTTCAATTAAACTGTACTTATTGAAACATCAATACTAAACTTTAGATTTAAATTAATATTAGTAAATTGTGTTGTTTATTGACTAGAAATTGCTCGAATGAAGTAAGTATTTAGGACATCTCATTAATTATATCAAATAAAGATATGAAATAGGATCTGAGAAATATCTTTCGTAAAGCATTAATTTCTTAATACTGGTACTTAATAAATGCCTATAAAACAATTAAAAATGTAGAAATTGGTCGCTCCACACAAGTATACAATTCCCTTAGTCTGAAATATCGGCAGAAAAACCTTATTGTAGTTAAAGTTGATTATAAATTCATTCACACTGATGTCACTCAGTTATATATTGGTAGAAATCTTAAGATATCCTTATAAACCTCATAAATTTAAAGTGAAATTAGCCACAAAACAGCATATTCAATTAAAATTATAATTAAAAATAAATAAGTTTTTTATTCAAACTTCAAATAAAAAAATAAAACAATATAAAAAAAATTATATTGTTGGGGCATTTTCTTAGGAGAGGGTAAATTTGAATACCATTCAAAAGTAAAAATTCACAATTTGTTCGCTTTGGACATATAATCTATTATTATATATAATGTAATTAAGAAAAAAAATAAAATGACCTGCATATATTAATTACCCTCAATTTTTGACTTTTGCAACTTTTTCATGACCCCCTACCCAGGTATCTAAAATACCATTTATCGCCTGAAAAGCACCCTTAATTTATGCCAATTGACAAAATAAAGATATGTTTAGAATGCTGATATGATGGAGAATCATGCTGCATCATTATTGGCCAGCAATATATAATATTTAAGAAATCTACGAGATTATCTGATTTCATGAAACTCAATGTATACTAAGTTTCAGACTTTGAAATTTTAACATGTTGATATGGGTACATAGGGTTTATGATTCCAGTCATTTATTTAAAAAATTACAAAAATGAATTAATATGATGTGAGTAACAATGGTAATAAACGCTTAATTACTAATATATTATTTCTTGGTAGGAATGAAATGTTTTGGTGACATTTATAGAAGTTAAGCTGAGAATCAAAAATGCAAAAATTATTTTAAATATTACAAGCATTATTTGATGTCATTGAGTTTAGAGTCGTGTAGATATATGAGTACAATATGTTATTGATGTATATATGCAATAATTGTGAAAATGAAATGTGAATCTCAAGATGAGTTGCATGTTACTGCGCTATAATTTGAATTCAATACGTACATAACATTACTAAATGTATTTTAAGATAATACAAAAAATTAAGCTTGCAAAAAGATATCGAAATGTAATTTTCATTAGATTCAAAGTTCTGAATAGATTTTGATTTTAACTATTGATGAGTTTGTCAAACCTCTATAATAATAGAATGTAGAACTAATTAAATATCATTAATAAAAAAATACAAATTTAAGTGATATTATAAGAGATATATGTGATGTTACCAATATGATATGATATTGGAGAACTGATAGAATTGTGATGTGAGACTAAATATGATTTTATTATGAATAGGAGAATAATATTAGAAGAATTTCTTGAATTTAATGTATCTGAATATGTAATTGGGCATATATTCTATATATATATTGGTAGGTTAACTAGAAATAAGAAGATGAAAGATTGTTAATGAATAATATGAGATTAAGCGAAAATATATTGTTCTAATAGATGAGTGTTGAGATCCAATATATATGAAGAGGGATATGTGAGAGGAAATATGTAGATTTAATAAAATAAGCGATGAGAGAAAAAATAACAAAGATTTATATGAAATTTTGAGTATTGAAAAAGCTCGATTAGTGATTTTATGTCTGTTAAAGGAATAGATATTCTAGGAGAAAGATAAATTGAATTAAAGAAGAATAAAAAAAGTTGATTAAGGAGATTGGGACAAAGTTGCAATTCGGCACTTTTTGTAAAAAAAATGGGGTCATACTCATAATGAATAGAGACTTATAGCCAAGTCTTGATATCATGCAGGGAGAATATACATTGATAAGCAATTATATTTTATAGTAGTAGTATTCAGAAATTCTTACAATTTACAATACAATTTTCAAAAATGGATAAAGACTTATAGCCAAGTCTTGATATCATGCAGGGAGAATATACATAGATAAGCAATTATATTTTATAGTAGTAGTATTCAGAAATTCTTACAATTTACAATACAATTTTCAAAAATGGATAAAGACCAATAGCCAAGTCTTGATATCATGCAGGGAGACTCTCTACAAATACAAAAATTGATTATCATAAGGAAATACAAATTTATCAATTTTCATGTGAAAATTACATAAATTTGTTCTCCAATAAATAGCAATAATACTTTGAATGTTATATTAAGTAATATAGCTTCAGGTAAATAAGCTTACACTTCAAAAATATACTGTTTATTTTAATTTTAAAAAAGTCCAAATTATCTAATCTTGCTTACTCTTCCTTTAAACTTCTTTGTGCCAAATTTAATATTGTCTTCAAAGATGGAATAAGGACATTAGGTTCAATCCTTCGGCTTTCGACAATTTCCAAAATGTGTTGAATTAATTTCAAACATTCATCGTGTTTTGAAGTTCTTTGCTCAACAATCTGATTACCTGCCCTTGTAAGAATTCTTACTGCTCTATCTTCATTCAAAACATTAGCGACTTGAACCTTAATAATCGCATTTGGAATCACAACAGTGATGAGAGTTATGACGATATAAAAAAATATTTTATTATACTCATTCGAAATTAAAAATAATAAAATTTATATATATATTAATTTCATTAAATCAAGGTTAAAAATCTCACCGGAAAAATAACCTCAGTGTGATAAATTTATCACCGGAAAAATTTACAATAAGGTTAATACCGAAAATATCGAAAAATCAATATTTAAGGTTAATTTAAGAGTATGCACTTTTGTCACCTACTCGTTGATTAAGATTGATAAAAATATTGAATTGTATGACAATGGAAAGAAGGAATAAATTGGTGTTGGTATGACGGTATCATTCTGGGAGACATTGCCTCTGCATGTCTCCCAGAATGGAACAATCTTCTGCAATCAGAATGTGATTGCAAAACTTTGACCGACAAGAGTGTATTGTGCACTCTTGTCGGTCGCAGTGTCTCATTCTGGGAGACATTGCCTCTGCATGTCTCCCAGAATGGAACAATGTTCCGCATTGATAACTTGAACGCGGAAGTTTGACCGACAAGAGTGCATTATCCAATCTTTTTTGTCATATACCTCAACCCACAAAGACAAAACCTTACATAAAATAGGTAAACTTTGGTTTTCACTTAATAATGTTTATTTTTAATTTTTTGTTCTTTATATAACTTTTTCTTCTACTAAACTATTTTACAGACTCTACTGAGCTATCCTCACATATATACCTGTGACAATAACACATATATACTCCCTTCATATTCTGATCTCATGACATATTACAGCACAAACTATAATTATACAACATACCTCATAAAGTCTGATTTTACCCCTATCTAAGCGTTCAAAACCTATTTTCCCCGCGTAATCTGATTCTTCTGGCTCTGCTGATTCGATTTCTGCTGTCAGATCGTGAAAATATGCATCACACAATGAGATAAACACAAAATACACAACTTAATATTTTCCTTAAAATTGTCAATTCCTCGATCTTGACATATTTATTATTTCCTCCGTTTTCCCTCACAAATATATTTAATTTTCTGAATAAGACGTATAATAAAATGAATATCTTAAAAACTAAAATACAAAATTAATGTTGGGTAATGACTAGATATAGTATGCACTTTTGAATTCATACATTTTTTGAAAAAATTGTATTTTCAAAAAAAGATGTTGTTTCAGTATGAACTTGAAGAGAAATTTTAAGGAAAATATTAAGTTGTGTATTTTGTGTTTATCTCATTGTGTGATGCATATTTTCACGATCTGACAGCAGAAATCGAATCAGCAGAGCCAGAAGAATCAGATTACGCGGGGAAAATAGGTTTTGAACGCTTAGATAGGGGTAAAATCAGACTTTATGAGGTATGTTGTATAATTATAGTTTGTGCTGTAATATGTCATGAGATCAGAATATGAAGGGAGTATATATGTGTTATTGTCACAGGTATATATGTGAGGATAGCTCAGTAGAGTCTGTAAAATAGTTTAGTAGAAGAAAAAGTTATATAAAGAACAAAAAATTAAAAATAAACATTATTAAGTGAAAACCAAAGTTTACCTATTTTATGTAAGGTTTTGTCTTTGTGGGTTGAGGTATATGACAAAAAAATTGGATAATGCACTCTTGTCGGTCAAACTTCCGCGTTCAAGTTATCAATGCGGAACATTGTTCCATTCTGGGAGACATGCAGAGGCAATGTCTCCCAGAATGAGACACTGCGACCGACAGGAGTGCACAATACACTCTTGTCGGTCAAACTTCCGCGTTCAAGTTATGAATGCGGAACATTGTTCCATTCTGGGAGACATGCAGAGGCAATGTCTCCCAGAATGAGACACTGCGACCGACAGGAGTGCACAATACACTCTTGTCGGTCAAACTTCCGCGTTCAAGTTATCAATGCGGAACATTGTTCCATTCTGGGAGACATGCAGAGGCAATGTCTCCCAGAATGAGACACTGCGACCGACAGGAGTGCACAATACACTCTTGTCGGTCAAACTTTTCAATCATTCATGCGAACATTGTTCCATTCTGGGAGACATGCAGAGGCAATGTCTCCCAGAATGAGACACTGCGACCG